TAGCACAGTAATGTGTTACCTCTAGTGAGCCAGTGAAAGTTCCGCACCGAGCACCCCCTTCACAGTTCCCCTGATTTCGAAAGGTAACCGAGCCTGGTTATCGAAGCCAGACTCGTATCCAGTCGCCACTCACGCTTTTTTAATGCGCGCGATGACTTTCATGTTTAAAAAAAAGGTTTCTGAAGAATATAAATCGAATGTATTTGCTGTCATATTTGTGACACAATTTGAAGTGAATAATTTAAAGTCTATTAATTTCCTTTCCAGATGGGTGAAGGAAATGAATTCAAAGTTGAGAACAGGGAGTTTTCGTTCGCATACACTTCATAGCAATAATGCAGAAAATGCTTCCCTTCCCTTGATGCACCGCAAGATCAATACGACAAGAGAAGCGACTGGGTCTGCATCGAAGTGATAGCGGCAGTGATATTTAGAGGCCTTTTCTAACACCTTGTTTGAACAATTATTCATATGTCTCTATCATTGCAAGGTCACGCCGTTATCGCTTCGATGCATAGACACGGTTACCTTTCATGATGGCGCAGGGAAAATGAAGGGACTATTAGTCATAGTGTAATCGATTTGAGTCTACCCAAATGCTTTTGCTTGGCCAATCAATTAAACCTATAATTAGGGGTTTTCACTCTTGCTTTCGAAAACCATATATAACCCTGGGGTAATCCCACTATCAAAGCTACCCTTTAGTGCGAAATCAGTCTTTATGGTGTTCTATGCATGTGTGACACATGAACGGGGGAGATTCATACTGAGAGTACTGGACCCGGTTGTACGAAGGGTGGATAGCGCTATCCGACGGAGAAAGGCCTTATCTAGTGAATAATTTGATGCTGCTATCCTATAAATTTATCCACTACTTGTTAGGATTCATTCGTCCGGATAGCGCTATCCGCCCTTCGCACAAATGGGCCCTGCGGCAAATGTTTGATCTGCACTACATCTTGAGGGGTCAGTTTCAAATGACCGCAAAACCGGTACCTGAGGGCTGCAGCTCCTCGTGCATATAATTCCTGAGAAAGCTAAAAATTAATGACACAAGATATGCACATAATCCCATTTACTATCACGTGCCACGACGCAAAATACAATTGTGAGGTCATCAGTGACATGACTTCAGGTGATCACGCATATGTGCACAGATCGAGCCAAGGACTTCTTTAGCAATGTGCTGGCCATGTCAATGATCAAATTTCATAGACCTTACAGTATTTTTTTACTAACTAGGGCAATTATAGCTTTTAAGTTAACAACTTAGCTGTACTAATCTAGCATCAAGGGCTTATTTATGACCTCTTAATTAATTAATTATCTGCAGTTGAATGTTTTATTCCAGATTGGAATAGAGGCTTTGCACCAACACGTGATGGCAGTCATTCTTTTTTCTCTGGGAAAGTGATTTTTTTTCCTGGTAAACCAGATTTAATTATTCCAGCCTCTTGTCATGGCTGCCACCACGTGATGGTGCAAAACCTCTATAGGGAGATATGTGCACTTTATCAAGATAAGCAAATATTACCAGCGATGGAAAATTGACTTAGGCTCTACTTTCCTTCTTCCTCCATTGCAGTAAGAAGACGGTCGAGCTCATTTAAGTCTGGTATTTCACTCTTTCGATTTTGATTTTGCTGCTCTACCGTCTCGTTCACGCGTCTACCAACTGGCGGCAACTTGAGAGGACGACTCTGGCGTTCAATCAACATGTCGATTGGTAAGACCCCTTTCGGGCGTTCTTTTTCATAGGGGACAAAACTTTTTGGAATACGAGCCTTTCTTTTCCTTTCGACAACGATAATTTCTTCCAAAATCTCTCTTTCGTCGTCTGTGTCGTCTCCAACGTCTTCAATGACATTTTTCGCGTTCTTCATTGCTTCTCCATCATGAAGATTTCTTTTGTTTGTCTTAGGTGACGTTTTGGGTTTATCAGATTCCTTCACGTTAAAATTAACATCATGGCTTTCTTTTGGCTTTTGGTCTCGCCCAGAAATCGTTTTGGTTTCCGTCTTTTTGACTCTCCCCTCGTCATCGGTGGTGGTCTTAGTAACAGTTTCCACGGTATCTCCATTATTAGTGATGACTTTTCTAACATGGGTTTGTTGCACGGTACGTGTGGGCTTTGGTTCTTCCTTTTTCTCCAGGCTAGCAAAATCTATTCCCGCCGTTTCTGCCTTGTTCGCTGACTTCACATTATCTACTTTTTCAGTCACTGGTACGCCAGAATACACTTTTTTGTCTGGCTTCTTGGGCTCATATGTAAAGGGTATCTCTTCGGGTGGTTCTGGTTTGTCTTCCTTGGGTTTTGACTTCCCCGCGTTTTCTAAATYATCCAGAAGATCCAGTATGTTATCTTTCGACTCCTCGACTGGATGAATTTCCTCTATCACTTTGGGTCCCGTTGGTTTCACCTTTTCTTGAGGTTCTTTTCTTTGTAGAGGAGGGGAAGGAATCTCAATGGAATCGTCAATCTTGGCTTTACCTTTTGGAGTGCTTTCATGAGGAATGTCGTCCAACCATTCTGGGAGACTCGTTTTACGGTTTACGTCTTCGGGGATTATACCATTTTTGTCCTCGTCCCGGTGCTCGTTTGGACTGCTGTCGTCTTTGGCGTCTTCTCTATCATTCACTCCTCCTAAAGTCGTCGTTGTCGTCGTCTCTCTCTTCCCTCCTTCGTCGGATACAACCTTGGTAACAGTCTTAACTGTCTCGCCTCCATCGCTCACTTCTCTGATTACTGTTCGTTCTGAGACATGTGTAGGTTGACTCGAATCCTGAACGACCTTCTGTTGAATGTGCCTCCTAGTTTCAAATCCAGCCTGTTCCGGAAAGTTCTCCATTAAGAACTCTCTAGTGGACGGGACGGATTTAACCTCTGTTGATCTTTTGGTTATAACAACTCTTTCTTTCCCTTGCGGTGTCTCACGTTTTGTTTCCTCGACAACCGTTTTGCTCTCGATGGCGGGCTTATCTGACTCTGTAAAATCCTCTCTAGTGGACGGGACGGATTTGACCTCTGATGATGTTTTGGTTACAACAACTCTTTCTTCCCCTTGCGGTGTCTCACTTTTCGTTTCCTCGACAACCGTTTTGCTCTCGATGGCGGGTTTATCTGACTCTGTAAGATCCTCTCTAGTGGACGGGACGGATTTGACCTCTGATGATGTCTCAGTTACAACAACTCTTTCTTCCCCTTGTGGTGTCTCATTGTTCGTTTCCTTGACAACTGTTTTAATCTGGATGGGCTGATCGGGCTCAGACTCTGTAATTGTAGTAGTTGTGGTTTCTTTAGTGACATTTTTTCCATTTAAATCCTCGGTGACCTTTTCTTCTGTTTTTGTCTCAGAAACGCGCTCTCCAGATTTCTCTTGAACCGTTTCTTTTACTATTGTCGTCTTGGTCGCACCATCACTATCAGAAGCTATGGTAGTCTTGGTTACTACAGTGGTAGATTGACTTGTTGCTCCTGGACTTTCTGGCACCTCATCTATGCTAGACGTTGAAGCCGAGTGCTTGTCTTTCTTGCTCTTTTTACTTTTGTCTTTCTTCTCCTTTTTTTCTTTCTTTTTCTCTTCCTTGTCTTTCTTTTTCTCCTCCTTGTCTTTCTTATCTTTATGCAAGAGTTTCTTCATGGCAGGGTTGATTGGTGTTGAATGTTTTTATGGCTTTTTCTTTAACTATATGAACAAAGAAAAACAGACCCTTAAAAAGTAATAATCACAATAATAATAGTAATAATTATTATAATTATAATAACAATAACTGACAAAAATAAATCAATAATAAATGCCGAAGTACCAGTTCATAATTGATAATTACTGGATGACTTTCTTTCGATTCTCCGTCTACGTTTTCGATTGCAATTTTGATTTTGATGAAGAATAGTCTCCCTCGCATCCGTTTTTAGTGTCGGTCGTCACGCAACGCTCCCTCCCCAGATGAAGAATGACTGGGAAACAAGAAAGAGCTGCTGGAAGAATCAATATTTCAGTGAACGCTTCATTTCATGCTGATTGTCGTCAAAATTCTATGATCGGTTTTCGGGCGGAGAAGCTGTCATGCAACTCAAGAGGGATAAAATCATTTAGATTAATTCAAATTTGAAATTTTAATTTTTGAACGAATAATAAAAGTTTTCCCGGCACTTGGGTCAAGCTGAGTTGTCTTTGATATTGAAATACGATCCGCTTTTAGACATAAAAGTCTCCGTGACAGGAAATTAAAGGTTGGCATGCTAATTTCTTCCACRAAGTGGAATACGATATGAATATATAGGCTCAAACTGAACGATTTGATGGTCTTCACATCGACAAAAAACTTAAATAACGACTTTCCTCGATAGCAGAGATACGGGACAAGTATTTGTTTGCAAAGAGCTTTCAAAAGAATGTAATCAAAGGGACAATATATTAACATCTCCTGGAGCTCGAGACGAAGCTAGCAGCATGCAAATCCGGTTAAAATATTCATAGTGATATTGTGAAGTCCAGACCTAAGCGCAAATGAATAAATAAATACTAAAGGACAATCCCGCCTGAAGCTCGACATTTTTTTCCCCAGAAAAAATAGTTTAATGAAACATGATTTAGGTAACAATTTATCAAGCACAAAAATACCTAATAATAAAATATAACAATTGTTCTTGGTGACCCCAACAATGTAATAAATATACGCAAAATTCCTAGCTGAATCTGATAATGAAATCTTCAGTAGTCTTTGTCATTTTCAAAGCTGTATTTCGATTCGATTTATTTTAAAACTGAGGATTTATGCGCAGCGAGTTTGAACAAAAGCTTCTTAGCTTTTCCGCTTTTTACTAAATAAACAATCATTTGCAGCGTGAGATTCACGATATACACACGCGTTTCTGCTCTACACGGGGCTACAAACGCTACATACCGTCCGGTTCAAAATCCGACAAGAAGATTTTCTTCTGTATCCGTTGTGCTGTCTTTAAAAGTAATTGTCGGGTTTCGCTTTGGTTTAGTAAAAAAAACGCGAAGTAATCTTCTTATTAGCGAGGAGAACCAACTCTGTACACATGATCTCAAAGCGTCTAGAGTCTTCTAGTTTAATCAACAAGGGAGTGCCACATTCTGAGCCTCGTCGAGGGGTCACAAACCGTATCCATCACGTGATTTATTTCTAGCGTTTCATTGGCTTTTTGATTAAGGTTTTGAAATTGAATTTAAACTCTTCCCGTGGTCCTAGCCAAGCGTAGGATATCGAGAACTAGAAGTGTTTGCATGTCATTGTTTAGTCACGCTTGTTAGGTATATTTCTTGATCCAAATGATGCCTCAAATAGCAGGGCCTCACAAAGCCCCATCATTCCTCGTGAGAATTTTGTCTAATCTTGCTCAACAATTTTTTTGTCTTTTTTTTTCTTTTTGGTCTGAGTGCTATTATTATAGGTCAATATATTTACAGTTGTAACTATGATTTGAGCCAGACTCCTTTGATTGATAGCTCAGTACTAGTACACATATTTGTCATGTATATCGTTCCGTTGTTTTCATTCAATCCTGGCTCTCTACCTCCTGATTTAATCGGTTACGAACCTTGATTCGTTTGCACCTGCGAACTGTGGCTAGATTGTATATGCCACTTACCCAGTGTGTTCAGTCACAAACTTTTAACAAAGAGTTACGCTTTTGTCCTCATTGTCGGCTCTGTAAACTTTGCTAATCTGATCCTAAAAATACATAGCATAGGATTAGGTTTTCCAGGCTGTCTGGGAGAGGTAAGAGAAGACAACAGCGAGCAACATTTTTACAGAAAAAATAATAATTTCCACATCCCTCTCGAAAGACATATCAGAAGTACATACCTTGCATCATCAATATACACCTTTTCCGAGTTCCAAATTACCGCTGCGTCATTCCACAGCCAGTCCACTTCAAGGTTCCTGTGTATGGTTTATAATATAGTAAAAATGTTTCACTTAACGATTTGCTTTAAAACTTGCTTCAGTCGTTACTTGTAATAATAATCATCATCATTTATTTATATTCACCATTTTCCATACACCGGTTCACTGGTCAAACACAAAGCGCTCAAGCAAGGCGCCAAGGAACTGTCAAAGGATTATTCACATTAGAACCTTGCAACCCCGACTGAATGCTATGCGTTCGACCAGTAAACCGATGTATGGAAAATGGTGAATAGAGCCTTTTCCTTTTAAAAATGTTCAAAAGCGCTGGCTTGTACTGTCAAGAGAATATGAAGTACCGTTTAATATTCTCTTGACCTTGTTCAGTCTTCTGGCAAAGTTTCAGCGCGATTTGAGGTCGCTTAGTGGTTGGTTTTCTTCAAAACCCGCTACTGTTTCCTTTTAGGCTCTGAACAACAGAGAACTCGAAGCTGGAGTATTGTAATTAAGTGTATTTTTAATTAGCTGGCAGGTGAGCTTGCAATAATGTAMTTCAAATGACTCGATGTATTTATATCAAAGCCAGGGGCAATATTTTTATTAAAAAAAGTTCATGAACTTTCTTTCGATGTTCGGCGTCTTTTGATAATAAAGAATCCATTGTGATCTATAACAGGTCATAATCATGAACCCGCCTATATATTTTGACTATGAAAGATTAGATAGAATTCACCGTACACTATTATCTTTGTGTCAGTATTCTAGATCAAGGTCGAACTGAAAGGCTTTGTACAGCACGCCCCATATTGGTTTGTCAACAAACACCAAAACCAAACAGTGTCAAAGTCAGCCACAATGGTGTCTATGACGTCACATGCATCTCACGAATTCACCTTTTCGGCCCAAGCCGTCACGTGGTATAAATTGTTTTGAATTGTGTTACGGTCACCAAAACGTTCGGACATTGTTCTCGGATTTCCGTACAAATGTACTGGCTTTAAATGAACTATTTACTTGGTTTGTAAAAAATCTTTTTTCTAGCTTGATTGAAGCTTTTCTTAGATTTCTTTAGTTAGCTCTCTTRAGCAGTACCTAAATTTTCTCAGAAATTGATATAAAATGACTACAAATAAAATACATAAAAAAATGAATCTATAAAATGAATTTGTATATGAGAATAGAAGCCAAATGTTATAAATAATGTATGATCAATTGTATTGAGAAATTCTTTATATTTTAAAAATGTCAGTTGAATAAAATATTAATCACTTACTGCGCGATATCCATAGGAATGATCTATCGCGCATTACATTTATAATAAGATCAATAATAATAATAATAATAATAATAATAATAATGATAATAATAAATAATAAGAGATATCTAGCTAAAAACTAGTGTGAGCTGCGTCGGTGTTTCTAATGAAACAGTAATGATAAAAGGGTAAATTATACACCGTGAAAAGATGAAAAAACTTACTGACGTTTCGAACGCTAGTCCGTCGGAGTAAAAGAAAATGAATAACAGATGATAAGTTGTTTATAGGAAACAAATTGTATATGTATAGAAGTATTCTGCATATTGCAGTTATATTATGGGGACCTACTAGGGGGTTACAACTGGTATTCCTGTGGTTAGAAGTTAGCGTGGCAAAAAGACCTGGGCCTAGTACCCAGCGCGCTAGTATGTCTGGGTAGAAGCACGTTGTTCTCTCTCTTTTCCGCCATCTTTGTTGTAGAAGGTTTTTGTACTGAGTGGTCGAACTTTGTAAGTGATTTTCTTGCTTATTAAAAGTCTTATCGCAACAAAAGTTTCCTGCAATGTTACCAATATATTAACTTATCGATCTCTGTTTTTAGAATCAATCAAGATGCAAAACGAAGCCGGTGATTGCGTTGATATGTATATTCCTAGGAAATGGTACGATTCTTGMCCAGAAACAACTTTCTTTCCATGCTTCTAATATATATCTAATGCATAACTTAGTTACTAGACCATAGTTAACGGATATGTTATGTATTTAGAACTATTAGAAGTATCGAATACGGGTTGTATCTATTCTCAATATTGAATAAAAACTACACATGTTGAAAATCACATCAAAATAACTATTTTAGCATTCTATATATCAGAAAGTTGTATAACTTTGACAATTACATATATTTTTGGGTGGCTATAATCTAAAAAGGTAGAATATTATTAGGCTACAATCTGGCTCTGAGAATCCTTGTAATGATGTAGAAAGGCTGGCTTAGTCTGGATTATTACCACTTGTTATCTTTATTGCTGTATTTTGTATCCATCACTTGACTTGTATGGTTTTTAACCCCTTGTCTCCCATGGACCTATATATACGAACAAACTTTTGCATGAGCTACCACAGATGTATATATGTCTTTAAGGGACTCATAATCTTTATAATCTCTGGTCATTGATGATTGCAATAATTAAAAAAATCTGGACATTAAGAATAACTGGTGCTTGAAATAATATTCCACTGATCTTAGTATTTGATTAATTTCCCTTTGATTTTATTGGAAAWTCCAAGAKGGYTGCCAGTAGCTGTTTTGCCCTCCCCAGTYGAAGATTCTTGTGCTATAATGTGCGTTATTTTTRCTYGCAGCTCTGTGACCAATAGAATTATTTCTGCAAAGGACCATGCGTCTGTTCAGTTAAATGTTGGTGATGTAAGTAACTGACTAGTGTAGCTCCAATGTTCGTACTACAACTATTAGAAATTCAAAGGCATAATGAAATAGGGGAAGGAATGTTTTTTTATTAGGGGGGCAGATGGCAGGGGCTTCAGAAGGGAGGGTCGAAAATTTAAGTTTCATGAAGGGTTAATCTCCTTTTTATTTTGAGGAWAGGTATTTCCTTTTTGACTTAATAGGAGGATCATGAATTTTCTACTGAGGGAAAAAGGGAGGGCTACAACCATTTTAAAAATGTTTACTGCAGATTCTGCAGCCCCCCTCCCCAATAACAAACCTACCTTCCCTAATAATGGATGATAAAGTAACCTAAATGTCTTGACAACATGTATAACTTTGTTGCTCTTCAAAGATTGATGATTCTGGAAGGTTTACAGGAAGCTCCAAGACATATGCTTTCTCTGGTTTCCTACGAAAACAGGTAAGGGATTGCTCCTGATACTGAACGTACAGATTTTTTAAACCATCATTCATTCAAGTAATTAATTCATATTTGGCTATCAAATTGATTAGATCTTGTTTCTTTAGGGTGAAGCTGATGATGCACTCGTACAAATTGCAATGAGAGATGGAATAGTTCCCAAGTAAGTAAAGAACAGGGAGATGATAATAATATCAATAAGAAAAACAACAACAACAGAAAATTTGGCAAAATGTTTTTAATTGCTTTTTATTTATTTATTTTAATTACTGGGCTACCTTTAGTAGACCAATAATTGTACAAGAGTTCAATCTTATACCAGGACCCAACTCATTTCAAAGAAAATCATAGGCTCTGAGAAACCCTAAAATTTTCAACTACAAGCAGACTGTTAAACATAATGTATAAATAATAAGAAATAAAATTCTACAAAAAATRTTCACTCCCTTCAATGAATCAAGATGAGTTTGAGAAACCATTTCTTCTCAAGTTTTAAATTAAATTTTTTAATCTGTGCTTCCTTTTCTAAAGGCTACATAGATGAGCAAGTTACTCAATAGATCTTTTTTTCCTTTTTTTTCAGGACTTACAAGTCTTAGAAATGCATGAAAAACACTGCAGATAAAAATAAAGATCTTTGAAATGTGCATTGTTTAGTTGTTTAAGGGCCTGTCAAACGTTGAATCTTTTACCTGAAACTTGTGTGCATTGACAATGCCAGACAAGTTTCAAAATGAATTGCACTGTGTAACMCTCAGATTTGTGAAACTTTCATTGCAAGAAAGTTTCACGAAAAGTAGAATTGCTTTCAATTGGTGCAACCAGAACTTGCATCACAAACAGGTTTTGTGCTGAGTGACACCTCTCTTGAAATATTCTTCAAAATGTCCCAGGAAACAATCTRATCGAAGCCCAACATTACCAGCAAGCAGGCACCATTAATTTAATTCTGAGCAAGATCAGATACATTAATTTCTCTAGCCAGACGTAATCTGGACTGTGGATCTTACRGGAGGGTGAAAGGTATCGCAATAGACCCCTTCACAGTTTCCTGCTCCATCTTGAAAGGTAGCTGTACCTTTGCATCRAAGTGAGACAATATGAATAATTGTCCAAGGTGTCAAAATAAGGTCTCTATCATTGCAAGTTCACYGTWTCTCTTGCTTTGATGCAAAGGCACAGCTACCTTTCAAGATGGCACAGGGAACTGTGAAGGGGACTATTGTAAAGGTGTTCAAATAAGTGCATTATTCCATGTTGAGCTACAGTACTGCTGTACTTTGCGGTTGTGATAAGTGATGACTCCAAAATACCAAGAAAATATTGCTTAATTATCTGTCCATTAGACTGTTACAAACACTAAAGAGACTAATCTGCCCACCCATTGAAATAGAACCCAATGAGGCAAATAAAGTATGCGGTACAAAATTCCGAAAGTATGTTCGTGGCTTAAGAAAAACATTTTAAAATTGATAATTCTAAAATTAAAAATAGAATATATTTTGAAACCACAAAAAATAAAGAATCAAAACGAGATAAAAACTATCATGGTCCGTATGGGGCTCGAACCCATGACCTTAGCGTTATTAGCACCACGCTCTGCCGACTGAGCTAACGGACCATCAGTTGAATGTTTCGTAACAGAATTCTCTACTTGTAGCCAAACACCTGGACCTCTGTTAAAATAAATCAGAGATTCCAATAGTTAAAATGGTTCCTAACGAAAATGAAATCTGGAAAATATGTTTTTTATATTTTTCGTGTCAGTTTCAAATACTAAGGTAAAGTACACGTTTATTTTCTGTAAATTTTATTTATTTCGGATAAAAACGTTTTCACAATATATATTGAAAAATTTTACAGCACATTTCTGGACTCTTTCGCCATTTGTTTATATCTTCACATCTCACACTTCCCTGCTGGAAAGTTCTTCCTATTTTGCCGTTTTTCTTCTTTGCCGATTTGTGACAGCAGGCTGCGGCATCGCGTGACCCTTGCGTGACAATCAGTACCAAGCTTGTAGTGGCCATTACTTTCCACCGTTCAAATGGGTTACAACATCAAGAAGTTTCGTCTGCAAGTTTCCAGTTCTATCCAAAGATTTAGTCGTGAAAGCCTAAGACCACAAATTTTTAAATCAAAAAATTAAACATRCTAAAAAAAGACAAATGTGTAGACACAATGTATTCATATACAGGTAATAATTTTATCACCGTAGGTACGAAAGATAGTAGACTGACGTTTCGGACGTTACTTCTTTGTCGGAGTCAATCAATCATAAGGAATCATTACCTTTTCTTTAGAGGAACTCTTAATCATTGATTTGTTTTCATCTTCGATTTTGATCCTTTTGCCAACCTTACAACCTGTTGAATATTATAACATGTAATACATAGAAGCAGGGGTATCTGCAAAGCAGGGTCGTTAGATAACTCGACTAAACTAAGAAATTGGAAAAATATAGGTAGAGTAACCCTAGCGGTAGGATTTCCTGCACTCCTCGTATAAAAGAGGCCCTAAAATCTACAAAATGCTTATCAYAAAATGCTTATCATAGGGATAATCATATAAAAACGGAAAAAAATTATGAAAGACTTTCAGAACAGTTTTTTTTTTTGGCATTAATGACTATGGATATTTATATTYATATTAATAGTTTGCTACATCGAATTTCTCGTGGAAACTGATATTGCACGCATCGCAAAGCAATCGAAAGTGAAATCGAGTGAAATGTTCGTGTCAGAAATGTTTAAAAAATACACTTAATTCACATGAGTTACCAGTGGTTTACCTCATGTGGGATCAGAGCAAATATCTGACATCAAGAAAACACTTACTTAGTTCAGATTCAGGTTCTGATCTTTTCTTTGTTCGAAGTACGTCAAAGTATGTATTTGGTACTTCTACAAAAAGGGGAAAGAAAGTTGAGCTTTAATTACAGAAAAAAAAATGCTGATTTATCTATTCTCTAAAATGTTAAAACTCCCTCTTTTGCCTCCTAACAGTTCCCGCCGCCTCACTCCCCGCGGAACAGAAACAAGAAAAAAAATAACTAGACTGAGTTTGGATAAAAAGTCGATTTAGTCTCAAAGTGATTTGTTTATGCACATACCTTGGCCTGTTATCTCCTTATACGCCTTAAAGAATTTGACTTTATCATCACTATCGCGAACATATCCGGAAAAATCTGAAAGTAGAATTTTAAAAACATCTTYGATAATCTATACCAATAAAAAAGAGATAGATTCTTATGAGAAGTGGAGTAAGGTGCGAAACGTTAAATGATCCTATAATGATGAGAAAATACGAGATACTGGGCTGTTTTTTTTGCGATATACAAATGAAGGCAAATATAATATGACGATGGGGCTGTCAAAATTGTGTGAAAGATTTCGACAGCGTTGCTAAGCTACCCCACACCTGCGTGACAAATATAACATCCTACATTGGCAAAGTCTATTTTCCCCCTCAGTTTATAATAGTACCAAAGGAAAATAGACGCTGCTAGCAGGGAATCACTAACAAAAATAACTAATGACTTACCAAGAAAGAGACCGTACATGGAACTGTTTTGTGTAAATAAAGGTGTCAGGCCATGTAACAGACTCTGTAAATCATTACTCTGACAAAACAAAAAGAAACGAAAAAGATGGCAAGATTAGTGTATAACTAGGTAGATGGCAGTAATGATAAAAGGGTAAATTTTACACCGTGAAAAGATGAAAAATTTACTGACGTTTCGGACGTTAGTCCTTCGTCGGAGCAAAGGAGCATGATGATGATAGATAATGATGATGGTAGGTGGCAGGTTAGAAGGAATTTGTTCATAAAGAAAATTGTCAAATAATGTTCAGTCTACTGTATTTTACCTCTTTGTATTTTGTCAGAACTCGAGTGAACTTTTTGTAGTTTTCTTCACTGAGAGCTTTTCGAACCTGAGATCATACAATTCATGGTCATTGGTAACTCTAATTTCTATTTTGCACCTCATATTTTGGCACCGAARTTTCATTAATTCATGTGGGATTCCTGTGGATATGKCAGKAARCTCTAARCACGAAARGCGCGCGTAATACGTATGTTGKCAGGAAAATGTGGTCAAGTCCTCACTGCTCCATTGTAGTCATCAGTTCACAAATTTGCAGATGATTGTCAATCATACCTTCACGATATACTCTTTCGCTGCTTGTACTTTTTGAACTTTTGGATCCACTGTTTTCTAAATATATGCAGTAGGTAAACAAACAGAAATATAAAATTTGCCATTCATGGTTTATGACTTGACAGACATAGCTAGAGGAAATGGTAACCGCTGTTCGATCCTTTTAAAAAATGTGCAGAAACTAACCTCACTAGCCTTATCTTCAAGGTTTTCTGTTTTCTGCTTCACGATCTGAAATTTTTACCATAAGAAAAAAAACGGGGATTAGTTTMTTCTCGACAAGCTAGMAGTAGATTAGGGAATCAGCCACAGTGGAATGGCGTTCAAGTTTGATTCCTGGACTTGCTGACGATACRCAATTATATCTGTCCTTCWAAYCAAACCGAACTCTAATGTTAGTMAAGTCCATGCTGTTTGTGCTATAGAGAAATGTGTGTAAGACCGTGAAAGACATGGATGATCATAGAAAAACGAAAACTGAGTGATGAAAAAACTACATTTATTTTATCACGTCTTTATTACCACAACAGGTGTAAAAGGGAAATCTGGCAATAGACCAAGTACTTTAGATACAGGAAGGCGACGTGCACRAACGAGGAGGGCAAAGACAAGAAATAGCTGTCTCACTTAGACCAGAGGAAACAAAGATTTGTTGTCTTTACAAACCTTGAGTACTTTTTTTGYTTTTTGACGCTGATTGATGTCTAGTTTACCAACAATTGAAGCAGACCACGTTGTTAATGACTAAAATAAAATAATTTAAAAAATATTCGCGTTAAAAGTAAAAATTAAAGATAGGTGGGTTCGGTGTGGGTAAGTGAGACAGAAGGAGGGGGGTAGGTGGGGAGGGAGGGAGGGAAAATGCAAGCCTACCTTAGAATGCTCTGGTACCGTTGCTTTAGATTGTTGACGTACCTAGATAAGAGGATATACAAATTAATAATAATAATAATAATAATAATAATAATGGTAATGATGATGACAATGATGATGATAATGATGATAGTGATGGTAATGATGGTCAATGATGATATAATGATGATGATTATAATTTGAAAACAAGGCTTTAACCAGCAAACCCATAACGGGAAAATCCTTTAATCACTAATAGTCTTACTTCAGAAGTGGCGAGAGAATCCAATAAACTGTTTCTCGTTTGTTTCGTCGGCATAGTGCAGACTGCATTGTCATCGTATTCCACTGATAAACGAGGTAACAACTCTATAACATATAAAGCAATCAAGGGTTAGCTTCAATACTTGTTTATGAATGGCTATTAATGGGCCATCTCTTAGCTACTACCATATTTCAGTATAGCAAAAAATAAATAGCTTGCTAGCCGGGTAGTTTCCACTTTCCGCAAATATAATATTTTCAAGGAACGAAAGTTACTTGCTTATTAGCTGCTGAGGAATAGAACTCTTTAMCTCGGGAGTAATGTTTTCCCATTTCAGACCACGTGTCATTGTCTTGAGAATAAGATTATTTGCTTGAGTTGCATCTATATTCATGCACATGTTTCAAGGTTAGGATACCTTCACTCCTTGTCTTAGACTTTGTTGTCAGAGAGAGATTTTCACTTCCATCAGATTGTTGCAGCTGCGATGGTCTTGGAGTAAACTGAAAGGCAGTTTCTTTACTGCAGCAAGATGATGTAGCACTAGTTATGACAGGTTCTTCCGTTGCGRGTGGGCACTCCTTAATAGCATGCTTGTTCTTCATGAACTTCTTATCAACCTATTTCAGAATGGATTTTAGGAATTGTTGGTCAGTCAGAGCGATTCCCCCCCCCCCCCCCCCCCCCCCCCCCCCCCCCAAACTCTGGAACAAGAGCTTACCATCCAACACATTTCCTGATAATCTTAAGGTACAGTAATACAGACAACAAAAACGTGCAAGCACTACTTGACGTGCAACATTGCTGCGTTGCAAGTTCATAAGAAACGAGGCTCATATTATACCACACCAGTGCGCTCAACAATTTTGCATTATTATGCGAAGCAGAAACTCTCTCTACTCGTCTTAATTTTAGTAAGTCATGTGATATGTGACGTCACAACACTAAAATCGTTGGGGTGAATGACAAGGCACGTGACTACAATCCTGTCACGTTTCGTGGTCACAGCTTGTAYTGCAGCAGACGAATTGGCACATGGGACWCCTTAGGTGTGGGGCCACCAGATACAGGCGTGTAGGGCCACCGGAGGTAAGGGTTCACCAGACGTGGGGCCACCAGAGGTAAGGGGCCATCAGACGTGGGGCCACCAGACGTTGGTGTAACCTGCCAAGGCTAGCTGAATTATTTTCTAAACTAACAAATTTAGATCTATATTCACCAGTTTGTCAGCATTTCTAAAAAACTGAATAAGCTCTCTTTGAACGTGACCAAATTCTTTGAAGRTTTTCACATGTGGTCGAACCCATGAAGGAAGTTGCTTAAGGGCATCCGGGTACGTAAACCTGATGTCACATAACAAAATGGCACCATAATCCTGCTTATGACGTATGACTCTACCAATAGCTTGATTGACAGCTCGGGAAGCYTGTTGACGGTACCATTCACGGCCAGACAGACCCTAAGAGAGATCACAAATCGTTAAAAACTGAGCAAAACCTAGATATAATTAACGTAAGCTTTTCAAAGGATTTGCCTGATAGGTTTCTTAGAGGGAAAGAAACCTAGTGGAATTAAGATCTTTGGAAATCCAGCTTACCTTGAAAGCTGCTTTATTTTTCCGTAACATTTCATCTAGAAACTCCATCTTTAATTTAACCTGCAATAAATAATAAAGATAAATATCCTGGCTGAGTATTTTCTTAAGGAAACTATTGGTTTAAGGGCTACACAGCAGAGTTTTGAATTGGGAAGTGAGATGAAGGGGGATCAGTTTACAATCCCAAAATATGAAAAATATTGTGAGAGGAGAGGAGTGGAAGCCTGCACAAGTTGATCCACTCCTTTGCAATGGTCCCTACAATATACTAAGGAAACTCAATACTATTGATAATCAAGACCTGATGTGAACCTATGCTGGTCCTTTACTAACCTTTGGATCCATTTTAGGTGGGAAAGGGAGTCCAGTTATCACCACTGCACGTCCATTAATATCTGCAAAGTCCAGCCCCTCGCTTACCTATTGAATGTCACAAATATACATGGAAATGTGAAGGGGATTCGAGAAACATTTAGTTAGAAGAGTTAATTTATCAGTACTAAAATGTATTGGAATTTGAAAGAAAATTATATAATAACGGATTTGAATCTTTTAGTTAAATACCTTTCCTCTGCAGACAGCAAAGAACGTTGCTCCATTGAGATCAGGGTCCTTGATTTTCGAATAAAACTCTTCCATCACCTTTTTAATAGCAATTGACATGATGTAGAGCAAGGATTGATGGATTGCAAGCATTCCCAAGAGAGTTTAAAGACAAAAGCATGGTGGTCATTGTGGTGCCGTTAACAATGGAAGAATTCGAACTAACCTGAACAAAATCCCCCTTTCCTTTTGGTTCAGCAACCATTGGTTTATGTTGAGCGATGCGAGCCCATATACCTGTACCCTGATCAATAAAATGGACTTCATAATGTATCTTCAGCTGTCGTTTTTTTWAATCATAGGCTGCTAAGCAATTATTTATTTAAAAGGATTGATGTCCTTAACTTTAGATAGATTGTGATGCAGGGAAAATGAGAGCTACGTGTACACACTATTCGGAACCACAGGAAATAGATCAGTATTTGTGAAAAGTGACTTTACATGAAACGATCTTTGGCGCAACTTGTTGCATGTAACTTAGCGCGCGCCGCAACACAAATTGATGGCAACAATGTTGTGAGTTTTGGAGGTCCWTCAAAAACCTCGACCTGTGAAACAAGTCCTGCTGAAAACTTTAAAGACAAGTCACACTGTGACAATGAAGGAAATGTAGGTGAGTATTTTGGTTGGTTCATGCGCTGTGAATCGTTCCAAGATTGTCATCAATTCATCCTACTATAGGCCCTTTGCAGCTAAGCAATCACGTGCTGATTAATTCACTGAGAGCAAATGAATGAACATCTTGATTCCCATGGGTGAAATGTACTGGTGAGCAAACACACTTTCTACAACCTGTTTCGAGAGATCGTAAAAAGACTGCATTTCGTAACACGCTGGTTGAACATTGTTTCATCCAGTTCTTTACAAGTAATTAAAAAGAATCACCAAGTTAAAATAGAAACAAAAATTTTGCTCTCCAGTACAGACACATGACCGTTAGTTGCAAAGGGCCAATTAATGATAACAACAAATATTTTTGTTTTGCGGACTTACCTGCCAGTGTTCCAAGCACTTGTTCATGACAGGATAGGATGGAAAGAACACCAGAAGACCATTTGGAACAGTGCGTGCAAAATTAGCTTTAAAAGAATTACCAAGACCAATGCATTAAAAAATACATAACTCAGGTTTTACCTTCCTAAAGCTACAACCAACTATGGAACTTGTAATTTTATGATTTATCTTTTCAAATTGTTTATTTGTTGAATGTACTTTACTTCCAGCACAGCAAGCAAGTTTTTTATTTCTTTTATAAAATACAAATTACAATAMCCGTTATTTTAGATAGGAATGACGCAACGGGAAGTACGCGCGCGTGCAATGTGCTCTCATAAAGCACGCGCTCCAAACCAATCAGAACGCGACATTCATAACAGTTATTTTATAAATATACTTGAATACTAAACATACCAATAGTATTCCCTAGGCCAGTCATGTATTCTACTGTAGACCTGAGAGTGGAAAAGAAAAACAAATTGACATGTGTGATTCCAGTTTTGTACGTTATATGGTGTTAGTGCATACCAACCTGAACTCAAATGAAGAATTTAAGGTGGCACCATCAGGAGCCTTTGTTACCACGCCAACCCATACTTGATGTTTCTTGATTACGTGAGGGTTTTCAAGACAGATAGGAAATGGTCTGTAAATCACAAAAGGTAACCTAACTTACACAACATTTCAAGAAGGAAAATTACAGGTTCCCGTGACTCATCCATGCGTTTACTTTATAAATCCATGCTTCCAGTACAACCATTTGTCTTCCCACACTCCCATTTATCCTTCTATCCATTCATCAATATTAATATTATTATTTATTTAAACAATTTTAACATATTAACTCTCTGTGTTTGCTCCAAGAGCGAAGCTCATCAGGGGAGATTACATCCATTTACCTGGCTTACATCTGTCAATGCATTTAAACCCTCCACGCAGTCGGACATCTGCCTTATTCATTGCTTTGTTTGTTTGTGTGTCATATGCATAAAGGGCCATRAAGGGGGTTCAAGAATCCGATAGAAATCAAACCCCTTAAAAAAATTATAAACCCCGTTTTTAGGCCCTATAAATATCGAAGCCCCTAGCTAGCCAATTCGGTACCTCTTTCTATTTTTGGTTTAGCAATTTCTTTTTTCGAAACTCCACACCMCAAAACCCTAGAGATGCGCATACTTGCATACTGTACATACTTACATTTGTAACTCAGCAGTAAAGGATTTTAGAGGGGACAATGTCCCACTAGTTAAGATGACATTGCGCACACCGTGTGATATAAGATCTTTCATCGCATGACCAGGACTAAAGCACCAGTAACTGAGAGTACGCCCTGGAAAGAAAACAAATGAATAAATCTATTTAATAATGTAATGGGCAGAAAGACTAGTTACAACACTCCTGACAGAACGAATTTGAATTTAGAAGTTAATTTTTAAAGGAAGAAAAACCAGAGAACCCAGAGAAAAAACCTTCAAAAAATAAGTCGGAAAGAACCAACAAACAACTCTACTCACATACCACAGGGGATAGCTTCAACCTGGGGTTGTATTAGTGAGAGGTAGTGCATTATTAGCAACACAATCTGACATATATTCTCCAACTAAATATAGTTTTATTAAGACATTGGCAAAACACATGCATGTATGCAAGTAATGGAGTAATATCCATCAATATATGCCTTGAAGTAAGGAATCAAGGACCAAGAATAGAGTATTAAGTTAGATCTCTTTTCTACTATACCTCTTTTTTCAACACTGGATCCTGTTGTCCAAATATCTAGGTTCTTTTGTTTCTTTTTGGAATCAGGCTCCAGCTTTACATAAACCTGAAAAGTTAAAAATTTAGAAAACCACATTATAATATGTAATTATTCAATGTAATGGATCCTTAAACAACCTCTTGGCTGATCTGTAGGGTGTGGCCTACCAGTGTAGATCAACTTGGAATTTAGTGCACCAGGGGAGTTAAGTTTTTCAGGAGGAAAACTGGAGTACATGAAGACAAATCCTCAAATCAATGGARAGAGAGACCCAACAAACTATACCCACGTGGAACCCAAGACTTCAAAGACCCATAGGAAGCAAGCGTACTACCAAAATCACTGAACTGTGGAATAGGCGACAGTCACGCCTACTTTAGTATGATTGACCCACCCATTTTTATGGATAAATTCCAAACATTCCACGTATAGTCTTTAGTATGCTGACATTTTGGCTCACTTTCGATCACATACTCATGGAATGTTTGGGATTTATCAATGAAAATGGGTGGTTCAATCATACTAAAGTGGGCGTGATGGCGTGATTATCATAAGAAAACTCGAGCCTGTTCCACAGTTTTGGTGGGTTTTTTTTGGTACTTACTACTGCTACACCCCCTTGATTTCCCTGTTTCAAGGTTTCAAGGTTTTTTTATTTCCCAGAATGAGAATTTTATACTTTACACCACTATTTTAAAAACATTAACTGGGAGGAGCAGAAGGAAACAACCCAAAAGGGTTAAGAGAATATTTCTGCACCTTGAAACTATATAATACTTTCAAAGAAAGTAATACAACAATGGGTGCAGAAATTATTGACTTCAATTTATAATTCACAAAAATGTTGATTTATTTTGTGTGGYGATATCTGTTTATGATGAATACCTTGTAAGTCTTCTCCACTCCAGCTTGGTCATTCTCACTATCTTTTGAAGATCCTGAAACCGGCTCTCGAAAAATTGTCTTGAGAAATGTAAAGAGATGGCAATATATTAGACTTTGAATATAAGTACTGGTGGTGTCCAGTTACAGTAAACATCATTACTATAACTGCAATTCTTTGGAAATAAGCAAGAGATTGGCGCGAGTTACTCCATTTTACAGTTCTGGTTTGTGATCACTCATAATACTTCCAAGTCGAGGTTGGAGTTGACACACGTGATAAACTATAGTTTTGCAATGCGCAGCAACTCCAACTCCGACTTGGAACTATTATTCATGGTCACTGAATGGAACTGTAAAAACGATTATTGGCAAAAATCATCTTGCCATTTGAGAAAGCATGTCAAGATTAGCAAGTCTATCAAATATGAACATGTTAACCAGAATTTTTGGCTGTATTTCCATAAATTTAAGATTAGTCCATTGTCTGTATGGAAAGATATAACCTTATGACCACTATTATATATACACTTGATTGCAGAAAGGTTGTAGTATACATTTATASAAATACCTAATTTATTCAGTATATTTAATGATATGCAAAACAGAAAACTCGCTTTATTTATTATTTGTTTCATTCAATGAATGTCAAAATATTTTTTCTTGTGTTTTACATCCTACAGATTATAAATCAATTGGTTTTGAGGGTTAAAAAAGTAAAATTGCAATATGCATCTCATTAGGTATTTGTATAAATTAATGTATAAATGTATACTACATCGTTTCTGCAATCGAGTATATATATATATATATATATTTATATATATGTGTTGCTGTTAATGAACATTAATGTTTAACCCTACTTGTAATGCATCTGCAAATTTTGACAAAGCAAAATGCTTTCCTCTCAGGCCTTTGTCATCTAGAAACAACAAATGTAAAGCTAGTCAACTGAATCCTTGATTAAAAAACTAGGTTTTTGGGACATTTAATAATGTATTTTCTCTATGGAAGAGCATGGAGTTCTAACCCATTTCAGGGCATCGTTTACTCACAGATTGAGAACTACAGAAAACAGACTGAAAAAAACATCAAATCAAGGCATAGACATAAGAAACTCTAACCATACCAAGAGCAGCAAAAAGGGATGGCGATAGAACTAACAAACKTCACCCAAGCATATACATACTGTACCAAGTCTGGAGATTACACGGGAGACCCCAGAGGTGAGTGCACTTCTGCTGCACCACCTATGGTTCCCAAGCAAAAAAGTCAATGGTTCCAGTATTGAAATCAAAGTTACATTTATACTTGCCATTAGCAAGAAGTGAATCGATTTTTTGTAGAACGTCCAGAACTTGTCCCTTAGTACTTGATTTGATACCAACCTTTGCCAAAAGATCTATCATAAAACTGTAGGAAGATAGTTATCATAAAAAAAACATTGTTAAGAATTTATAAACTATTTAGGTAAATCAGGAATGGTAAGGGCCTTTTGCTTGAAAGCTGGCGATTCTGGGTTTTAGAGCTCCTTAGTATTTATTCCAGATTCTGGTTTCCAGGTTTTAGGCTATTAAATTTCTAACCTAGATTTTACCTTGCAGGAAAGGCCTGTCCACCATCTTTGGAGAGAGGAATTTTTTCTATTTCTTCTTCAAATTTGCTGAGTAATGCTTTAAAAGAAGATAATTATTAAATTATATATATATATATTAATTATTAATATAAAGTAATGTGGAATGGTAGAGTACGTGAGTATCCGGTTTCATCAGCCTTGTGGTTCTTTCTCGTTGTTTGCGTCCGATCATTCACATCGCTTATTATCTTCTCCATTTACTCGTGTATATTTCTCTACAATGTCTTACAAAGCCTCAAAACGTAAGACATGTACTAGTACCTGCCCTGGTTGTAAACTATCAACTGCTTTACATAATTATAATAATATTAATTTTAATAATATTATAATATTTTATATGCCCAAAATTAATGTTTCTTGGAACACCCTGAAAAAATGATGTTTTTGCTTGCTTGCTTGCCTCTTCCAGCAACCACAATGCAGCTCCATTGGACTACTAGTCGTAAATAATAGACATATTGTTTAGAGATAAATAATGATTCATTCACCAGTAGCTTTGGCACTATGCTGTTGGCCGACATCAAGCAACACTGCGCCACTCTATGTCTCTTTACTTATRAACTTATAAACACATTTCGTATACCTTTTAATGTCTTTACATCTTCTATCTCTATATCAGATGTGTCTGAGAAAAACGATTAAATGTATATTAAATTATATGTAAAACATCTGCCAAAACACAGCTTTGAATACTTTAAGTATCAAGTTACCCTTATGAAATAAGGACATATGAATTATTCCATGAATATTTGTACATACTTCCTTCATCCATATCTAAGTTATCTGTTTGGTTTGCTAGGAATTCCATACAAAGCTCTACGTCCTGGATGCAAGATGCAATATCAAACGAAGTGAGGTCAAATGAAACTGTATCCTCACAAATCTTTTCCTGAAATCGATAGTGAAAATCAATTTTAGTAGCAGTCTTAGTATAGGGTAYGGGGTATAATTATTGAAGATGAATTAATAATGAAAAGTATGTTCCTGATGGGAAATCAACTCATGGCCTTCCAATTATTCTTATCAGATGCTCTACCAATGAACTACAGGAGACTCTAGTAAGCTACAGTAATGGCCAATACTAGGTTGTTTATTTTTATTTATTTATCCAACTTTGACACTCTGAGGTGGACAGAAAGCCTTACAGGTTGAGGACCCAATTACGAGACACTTGATACAGTCTAACCATTTTACAATCTATTTTCACAGCTGTTCTCCTTTAACGTCTGCTATCTTGTCTTCAATGAATTAAACAATCAATCAATCATTTCTTTGTCTTAATCCCTTCTGTAGCATTCATGATGTCATTCATGATGTCATTCATGGTTTTTCTTACCACATTATGTGCCTCATCAAAAATAACAATGCTTCCAGAAATGTCAAGATTATGAGCTTTACGAGACTGAAATAAAAGGAACATTTCCACATTTATTCTTATTGCTTTCGAATTTACCAAAAGCTTTGATTCTGGCAGGTAAACCCTTACAATGATAATCACRTACTTTATTACAGGTGACTAGGCAGTATGTGTTGGTCAACAATCACCGGAGGCCAACACACGGTCAACACTGGACCAACCATTGGCTGACATGATGATGATGATGGTGGTGGTGGTGATGATGATGATGGATGATGGTAGTGGTGCTGATGATGGTGATGACAGCAACGGTGATAGTGGTGATGATGATGATGATGGTGATAATAATAAAATAATATTAATATGATAATAAAGCACCTATCCAGGTCTGCTCTAGAARCTTTTACTACTTTAAAAAATACCTTTGGATCAAGCATATAATTATAAGGCATGAATACAATTTCAGCATTTGTCTTTAGCTCTCTGGCCATGTAATAAGGACAGACTCTGTAGAAGGGTAGTAATGAATATTAGCATATACCAACTTGTGTACTTCCTAAGAACGTGCGAGCTCATTGGTTAATTGGAGGTGAATATTATACTCGCGTCTTGGTAAATATTCCCCGATATTCACTTTGCCTTTGGCGAATAATTGCTAAGTATATTCTAAAATTAGATGATTTCATCATTAATCAAATTAAAATGATGCAATTTCATATTCTTCTGACTTCAAAAACTTCTAGTGCTTTGGTCATTGTCAGGAAAACCAGAAACAGTCCAAATCCAAAATACCACACTTATAGAAGTCAAGTCAAGTCCACATGAGTTACATGCTTAGTCTGGTTATGGAGTAGTTCTTGTATGACTGTGAAAAGCTCGCTGCACAAACGAGGTCATGACAAGGCAAGGGATACACTAGATCAATCACATCAAGCAAGAATTTACTGTCCATCCAATCAAATACCCAAAATACRGCATGAAAATGGCGTGGACAAAGTCATCGAAAGGATCATGGAACTGCCAGACTATCACATTGCACAAGAAGAAACTAGCCAATCAGCTTACTTGTGCTTTTGTCCAAGTTTAACAAGATCTTCAATATCCAGGATGCTYGAGGTGAAATCAGGATTGGATTTGTTTACTAGGAACAAACAAAGAATGGAATGAATGAATAAAAAATGGTAAGAAATGGGAAAAAAAGAATATATGTCCTCATACCTTCTAAATTATTATAAAATGGACAAGTTCTGGCTGTAACTTTTGCTCTACACATGTGAACCTAAAAGATATAGTCAATCAACAGTTAGTGCTTGACTTGGCACAGGGTTAAGATAATGGCTGGTCAGCTGTCAGACACRATCACTGGCCAAATAAATTCAAGCTTGTTCATACCTAATTTCTCGATCAAAATGTCACTGGTAAAAATGACAAGGCAAAGATGTAACTAGACTAGTTCCAATTCTGGCCAGACATCGTTCAATAAACAGCTCTTACCCAGTATTTTAAGCCCTGTGGTAATATATTTGGCCCAAGGGAAATCGTAAAACAGGGAGCTATAGATGCTCGGTGGGGAAGAGGCATGCAAAACCTGAACAAACGCAGGAAAGCAGAAATAAGACCCATGTGCATCACAAGGGATTGTTCAAAGTAGGTGCTGCACATAAAGTAGCTAGACACCTTAGCAGAGTTGTTTTCTTGTTTTAACACATCAGGATGAATACAAAGCTGTTCTCTTGAGCCAATAATACTGACTCTGGGTCTGAAAAATAGAATAATTTAAAATCAAGATTTAAAGTAACTGAACATTCAAGAATGATATTTACAGACAAAACACCTAATACCATAATYCACTGAGTTATATTCGTTTAATGGATGCACATGAGAAGACACATAAATACTGAACAGATGTAACTCAAACGAAGGACCTTATTCTCAAGAGAATCACACATGGTCTGGAATGGGAAAACATTACCAAACTACTGCTGGATTGAGAGGTGTTGCCAGATTTTTGGGAAGCATGGGTGGCGTAGCGGTGAGAGCRCTTGCCTCTCACCAATGTGACCCAGGTTTGAGTCCCGACGAGCTCGGTGTTGTATGTGAGTTGTGTTGTTTGTTGGTTCTCTCCTGTGCTTCAAGGGTTTTCCAGGTTCTCCAGCTTTCCTCCCTCYGCAAAAATCAACTTCTAAATTCCAATTGGAATCCAGTGGAAGAAGAGCCACTCTGTGGAATCCACTGTTAATCCCATTATTATTYATTATCATATTTATTCTAAGCACCTGTAAGTTGTGGACTTTAATTCTTGAATTGCTTGACATAACTGGGAGTGGGTTCTTGAAGCGTAAATGATTTTAGGAACCTCAAAACATGAACCACCTGAAAATGAAAATGAAAGTTAACATTTACTTAACACTGTAATATATTTAAAGCATGGGCAATAAAGATTAATCATGCACCATTACTCATTCTCTATTAGGAAGCTTGGGGTGCTAATGCACTGCTTCTCACCAATGCTACCCAGGTTTGAGCCCTGCCACAATGGGTGTTGTATTGTGAGTAGAGTTACAAGTTTGTTGGTTCTAATCTGTRCTTTGAGGGTCTTTCCTCTGAATTCTCCAGTTTTTCCTTCCTCCACAAAAATCAACTTCTTTAACTAAATTCTAATTCAATCTATCGGCTGTCTTATAGGTTGGGTTTTAAAACCTGTTAGGCATTATACCATACACCCAGGATTGGTAAATGCATTACATTTTACATTAGATTTCCTATTAGGCCAAACAAAATAAGTGTGTTTCCTGTTGCATGAGAAAAATAATTGGGGTCAGTAGGTCGGAATTGTTTTTTCTTTTACTGATACAACAGTGGAAATTATCTTACTGGGAACCCTGTGGTGCATTTGAGAATGAAAGAATATTATGGTTGGCAAAAATCGGCAAGAATATAAGGGTCGGTTGCACAACATGAAACACACTTATTTTTTTGTTTGGCCTTATAAGATAAGACTTGCCAAAAGCAGGATATTATTTTACCTGTGTTACCACAACTTTCATCCCAAGTCCCTGCAGCATTTTGCAGCTGGTTGCTTAAGTTCTCCTTAAATGTTTCACCTTCTTTGATATTGGAACACGTTCTCTGGCCTAACTGCATGCTGGCAACAAATGTAGTCCTCCACGATAGAGTTGCACATAGTAAACAAAGGGTTTTGCCAGTTCCAGTTGGGCTCTCCAAAATACCATTTTCTCTCTAGATTGACAAAACCATATGTTATTTTATAAACATATAGGGTTGATATAAGTGTGATAAAGCCATGAATAAAAGCTATATCAGAGAAGTCTTGGGTAAGCCATGAAGGCACCAGGCCAAGTAATCCCATGTTTTGGGTAAAATGTATGCAGCTACAGCACTGCTACAAATTTTATGTACCCTTTTGAACCTGATGAAAGCAGCTCTATTATGGACCATATAACAAAATTGCAAGGAGGGGGGAGGGGTGGGGAGAAGAAGCAAGGTCAAAATCTCCCTACGTCTTCTCTAGACACTAACACTAGTCCACTACTCCAGATGGGACTAGTAAATCTTTGCTCCTGGCTAAGGAAAATTATAACTCACTATTCCATAGGCTAGTAGAATTTTTGAATTAATTATTGGGCTTGCAGATTTATACTTTGCTGGGCTACTACATTTATAGACTTACTAGTCCATTACTTAGTATCTGAAAAAATAGTTTTGAGCACTACTTATTCTTGGGGTGCATGTTATGTCATACCTGCCATGCTGGTTGATGATATAACAAAGCATTCCTTATTAGCTTCTCTTGTTAGATCAACCAACATGGTGGCGGTTTCATTGTTATTTATATATCAAGGGATTCTCAAGGGGTCGTATAACAAGGATCCCCTCTGCAGTACATTAGTAACACACCTATAATTGGGTTAATACAGTTGAGTWATGGGGGGTAGCTATAATAAGAACCAAAATCCTTATGAAGGATGTATTTTTATGAGGTAGTTGAGTTTGAAGCATGATTTCTAAATGAGTAGAACTGACAAAGACTGATTCTATAAAGGTAAAGGATCAAATCTGAAGGGCTTATTTTTTGGAAGAAGATTCAAGTAGCTGTTTGTAGGCTACATGTGTCGTAGTTTATCTTTCATAACCCTTTTTTTTTTTGATGGGCTATCAAAAATCTCGGTTAAATAACATTAAAAAATCGAAGAAGCATATTATCGGAATATATTAAAACTAGTTTAAATGAAGAACAATAAGATAAACATAAGCTTATAATCAATTCTGTGTATAAGCTTACTTCTTGAAGACATTGAATGACTTTCTCCATGTACGCTAGCTGACAATCATAAGGCTGGAATGGAAAATCCACGTCGACATTCCTGATGCTATTCGTGGTCATGATGGATCTTTCGTAATAGAAGAAAATGGAGGGTATTTTTTCATCGCACAACTTCTACACTTTCAATGTCTTACAAGCTTCCCGCCACTTCTTGGTGATTTCATTGTCAGTTTTGACTGACTCGCTTGTGGGATGGGATACCTGTGGTAGTATTTCTTCGTTATGTTCTTTGCGCTGTGATTGGCTGGTTTTCCCTGACACAGGGAACCCGTTATCAATCCTAAATTCACCTGCCTAAAGGAAACCTTTCTTTCTAGGTTTACCAGAGGGCCTTTAGGGACCATTCATATTTTTAACGGGAAGAGAAGGGAGGGGTAGTGGGATTTGCTTGGTTTTGACCCAGAAAACGAATCTTACCCCCCATTAGTTGTTCCATAAGAATGGCCCCTTTCTTATTTTCCATTGTTTATATCGTTTTTCATTCTTAGATCCACCCCAATTACCTTAGACCTATTTTCCCCCACAGACAAGTACATTCCCATGCACAACTGTTAAGCAAAGAAGTGATACTCTAGGAATAACAGGTGGACTGAAATAGTAAAACCTCACACCCAAGGTTAAGACGTTTACAGTATTTAGAAGAGAAATGACAGGGGAGGAGTGTTAGTCTTCTTCAGTCTTCATTGTAACAGGTCCTAGATTCACTGCACCATCCTTTGAGAGAATCTGGAATAAGCCAATGTGCACAAGCATGAATCTCTAGCACAAAGCATGATGGGAAACAAAGTAATCAATAGAAAGTAGAAATCAATAATTATCAGAAAAAAATTGGTTATTTTCGTCTGTTGAAATACAGTTTCATCAAAAATGAAGGAAAAATTGTCAAAGGGATTTTTAGAGGAGCTGAAAAACTGTACACTGCAAGTACTTGGTTTCCCATCATGCTTTGTGCAAGAGATTCGTGCTCCTGCACATTGGCTATTGAAACTAATGGCTACCATAAGAAAATACAAAACGTGAAAAAGTTTGTTGAATAACATATAATTATCAAATTTATATGAAAAATTGTTGATAATACAATGAAAATAAATTCAGGACTTAGATCAATAATATTTAATCAAAGTACGGTTTATGTACTTTCAATTTAATATGTCCAATCCATTTTTAAGACAATCATTTAACTACACAGAATGTTTTGCATTCTATAAATACCAATTGGAATGTATGACTGAAAACAGTCCAACACTTTCTATGCTAAGCAAATACACTTCAACAATGGAAAAACTATCAAAATAGTTCAATGTAACGTGACATAAATGGATAGAGAGATTTCAACTGCTTCACTGAAGACATTGTTATCCTTGGTGTAATCTCATCTTTCTTTCCTTGGCCAAAGAGCTCACTTTTTTTACATGCTTGAAGTGTGCATCCAGTTGTTCTTTCCTTTTCTTAAAGAAGGCGTCACGATTCAAACCATACTTCTCCATCTTTTGTTGGTGATTTTCTTCTTGCATCTTTTTTTGCAGATTTAATATCTCATCCAGAGTATTCCTTTTTTGCTCAACATTTGAATTCTTCTCATGCACACGCTCCTTTAAGCTCTGAAGATAGCTCTTCCTGTTCTCCATTGAGGTCTCCATCTTTTTCTGGATCTTTTCTTCTGTGATCTTGCAGTTTTGTTCTGTTATCTCTTGAGCATTGTGCAGCACCTCCATTGTCTTCTTCTTTTGGGCATCAAATTTCTCTCTCTGGGCTTTCCTCATTGACTCGGTCTTTACAAGACTTTGCATCATCTTCTGGTTAAGCTTCTCTTCTGCAATTTTAGACTGTATCTCCACCATCACCTGATTGTTAGCCTTCACTTCCTTGATGTGTTCATCTTTTGCTGTGAGACGATCTTGTAAGGCTTTGTCAAGAGCATTTTTGTTCTCTTCATAGATCTCCATCTTTTGCTTGTGCTTTTCCTCAGCAACCTTGCTTTGAAGGTCTGCAAGTGCCTTAACATGTTTGGTGTGCTGGTTTCTGGCTGCCAACCGTGCTTTTTTTTGAAGGTCACGTTTCTAAGAAATAAAAAAAGGCAAAAGATGATGTAATGATAACCAAATTCATTCAACACATGAACTGTTTTCCCCTTTTTCAGTATTTTCAATGTCACAGGATATGACTTATTTAGAGAGCCCCACTGTTAATCAGCATGCTCAATTTTTGCTTGCCTAGAACTTTGCTTGATGTGCAGCACCCTTTTTTGATTTGGCCCTCTTCTTTCCTTGCACCACCCTCTCTTTTTCCTTTTTGTCTTGGCCCTCAGGCAGAAATATTTATAAGAGAGCTTTGGTGCTACTCCTCATGAAGGCTCCAGATACTTAAAATACAGAGTTTGTGGAACAACAAAGCAAAGACTAGAGATATAGCAACTGAATCTTAATTGCCTCTCCCAGAAAAGAATTTGGATTTCATATGGGTGTGATTTAAAATTGCTGACAATTCAACACCCAGATGTTGAATACCTAACACAGTTTAATCCAATATTATTATTATTATTAATCTTACATTAATAAACTTAAGATTATAGTAATACTGCGATATGAAGAGTACAAATAAACTATACAAATAGTATAACTATTTCAGCTGTCTATTTTGTGATCATTTCATTTTTTTCCCGACGTATTTGTACATTAAGAATAATATGGATCATATCCTGGTTATGCATAAGCGATAACATAATAAACATAACAAACCTTTTTTCTTATTTCAGCTTCAAGTTGTTTACGGCTGAGATATTCTCTGCTGACATTTTTATCTCCCCTTAGTGGAGAAAAATTCGGCTGACGAGCATTCTCGACAACTGGTTTAAACCACATCTCAAATGCCACCGGCCTCGGAATTTTTTCTATAAAAATAAAACAGAACCAATAGATTATGAGATCAGATTTTTAAAAGCTTTTCCTTTTTATTTCCAAACAGAAGTTACCTGGTGTTTGACGTTGAGTATCGGCCATTCTTGCAACCTACAACTTGTGATGAGAAGCGAGCAGCTTTACAAGAATATTTTTTGTGAACAAAAAAGGTTTTCTAAGGACGGAATCACTAGTATGTAGGATTTTGCGGAGTTTTATTCGATAGATCAGCCTTTCTAAAATCAAATTTTAGCTCTGTTCGTAACGAAGATAACGATGCAAAATTCTCTTCAAAACTTTCCCCGCGTAACACGAGAGCATGACGTTGCGTCGCGCCTTCAAATACCAACAGAACCGAACACGTGATAAGCAAACGTGAATTTTGATTGGCTGTTTCAGCAAGAAGGCTGGAATTTAATGCATCTCTAAAGGGAATGTAAGTACATGCACTATAAAAGGGGAAGGGCATATCTTTGTTTCTCGGCCCCACATAAATGTTAATTTTTAGCGATGTATTTTAAATCTATATTCACTAAACTGCGCTACACATTCCTTGATTACTAGTACATTTTGTATACATCTCTGAGTCTTCTATTTCCAAAGAATGAGAAACGAGCCAATAACGACAATCTAAAGGAGGGGGAGTCCACTGCATGAAATAGCGATAAAGGATGGATCAACGGGGATTCTGGTTCCAGGAATCTTCAACTTTTTACCTTCATTTACGAAAGCTATAAATAGACATAGTTTCCGGCCTCGTTCCCATTTCTTTATATTGGCAGCTGCCAGGTGTGTGCTTCAATGAATGACATTATCTACTGACTTCTTGCCTTTGAAAAAATTTTGTGCTCCAAAACATGTATTAACTGGCTGTTCCAGGCTATTTATATTATTAATAATATTATTTCGAGAGAAACTATACCGGCTGAACGCAGGCTATTCCAGGCCGGTAGACAAGAGGGGACAAGCCAAATGGCTATATGCCTACGTCATCGCTCTTTTAAGTTAAAATCGTAAGTTCAAGCTGAATAAGATAAAATTAACGGATTGATTAAAGCAGATAYTGAATATTTGCCAACGTTTCAGTCCTTCATCAGGGATCAGGGCTAGTATCAGTTGAAGACTGAGGAGAAATGATACACGTAACGCAGGTAACGCTTTATGTTTGCGTACGTATCGTGGATGGCGTGACGGTTAAGGAAGCTGATCACGTTGCTATACCAACTATTTATTATAAATATAGCAGCTTAGCCAATCAGAAGCAAGAAAGACCAGAATGCCGCTTTTAAAACACAAAGAGAACGCTATGAGAGATCAGAGTCCGATTTGAAAGCACTGAAAAGGGACCAGTGATTGTCTATATTTTTTTGATCCAATTCTGTATTATGAGTACCGATATAGACAGTCACATTACCAAGAAATATGAAATTAAGAAACGACTGGGAAAAGGAGTAAGTTAACAAAAATTATACTTCTTCGAAACCAATAACACTTTTACCCGCCATTTTGAGCAACTCACCGATATTTAATGTTCTCAATATAGCGAATTTGTTTGTGTTTTTAGGCATATGGAATCGTCTGGAAAGCTGTAGATCGCAAAACTGGCGAAGTTGTCGCCGTTAAGAAGATTTTTGATGCATTTAGGAATCAAACAGACGCACAGGTACGGTAAATCTGTCAAGTTGATTCACTAAAGTTTGTGGTTTTTTCCGATCCGCGTCTTCGAAATATTCTGTTTATAATTCATTGTCGTTCTTCGCGATTTGAGTCTTATTTTATTTGAATTGCAGAGAACTTTTCGAGAAATCTGTTTCCTTCAGGTGAGTAATATAAAATTTGCGTTAAAAGAAATTATTTTATTTGTGAATTAGGCCGAAGTAAAATTCTAATGCTGTGAGCGTAACACACTGTATTCAGATTCCTAATCATCATTATAAATAAACCAATAAGCTTATGTTTTTATATGCTTATATTTTAGGAATTTGGCGACCACGAAAATGTAGTCAAACTTATGAATGTCATCAAAGCTGATAATGACAAAGACATTTATCTGGTTTTTGAATATATGGGTAAGTGAGATAATTTTGCTTTAAAATACTTTTGAAGCGTTCAATATTTTTTGGCTAGTTAAGCTGGTAAGCTTCATTACGTATTGAAATATTTTCTGTTTGTGTGTAGGTGCCATACGTAATGTGTATATTTTGATTGGCTGAGACAATGAAGAACTCGCTTTCTAACTCTAAAATATCTATTCGTGATTTGTGACCATGTGCCTGAGGGACATAAACCGGACATAACAGATTTCGCAATATAAAAAAAAAGCCTACTAATGATATTTTTAAAAAATTAGCCCTGTAAGGTACTAGAGATATTAAACTTTGGACATAATAAGTTATATACCTGTTGGAATTGATTTCAATGGATTGTCTGTTTCTCTATATATTTACGTAACAATCTCTAACTGTTGTGTTAGAGGTGACGTCATTATCAGGTATCATCATTTTTCCAGAACGTTCATTTCGTAGTTCCGCTGGTACGATAAAAATATTTAAAATACTGCTTTAAAGCAACTACCTAAGATAATAAATTCTAAGACCTTTTTAGGAATATCGATGTAGCCTTGTAGGTTGTGTAAAGGCTGTTTAAACTTGCGGTAGATATAATACCTTCTATGTTCTATGTTTATGAAGTCAGGCAAATAATGAGAAGTGTTAATTATTGAAAAAGAATCAGAAAGTTGACCTTAGCTCACCATGTTGCTCATTGGTAGAGCGTCTGACTAGAATGYGTGTTTCAAGAAAATATTTATAGCCCACTAGGAGGAAATTGGAAATTCTCAAGGGGTGGGGGGGTCAGAGGAAAAACAAAATTACAAGGTTTATATGGAAGGAAATTGGAAATTCCAGAGGGGTAAGGGACCTTTTTTAAAATTTCCTCCATGGTGGGGTATAAAATTTTTCTAGGCCCACACAAAATGGTCATGGTTTTGAATCACATCTTGAGATCAGGTTTTTTGAGTTTGTTGTTTAACACTTCTCATTACGTATTTCATTTCATTATTTGTATGTCTATTTTCACACTTGTCTTCTCTGTTTAAAATAAAAATTAACATAACTTTGTCTACAGACACTGATTTACATAATGTGATAAAGAAAGGAAACATACTTAAAGATATCCACAAGCGATATATAATGTATCAGGTAGGTACTACTGATAGATTATACTACTATGAGCATTTTATCAGAGGTTTAAAACAAAAGAAATATTGATGAAAGCACAAAGCTGTAGTAGCATCCTCTCTGCAAGCATTTCCCTGTGTTTCTCTCCCTTTCTCCCTTTATAGGAGCCTGGAAATGAAGAAGCAAAAACTAGCATGAGGGGGGAGGGAATGAGGGATATTTTTCCTTGCTTGGGCCCAGTACCCAGTAATAGAGAACAGAGTTAAGAGTTGCCTGCAGAGGAGGCTAAAAGCCGTAGATTGGTTGCTTTTCAGCAGCACCCCCAATGAAAAATGAAGCAAAAATTTTTTGATCTGGCTTTTCAAATTCATTTTCATTCATTCTGTTCAATTTTGCTATCAACACCATGAACACACATTACAATGAGATGGGCTTATAACTTGAGAGCTTTCATTTAACTGCAAGAATATTTTCTTACAGTGAGGCCAAAAATATTTCTTCCATTATCCAAGCATTAAATTAAAAATCAATATGTAAAATTATTTTAGACTGATTGTGCTGATAAATTGTTTTTCCCCTCAGCTTCTCAAAGCAATTAAATTTCTTCATTCTGGGAATGTTATTCATAGAGATATGAAGGTAAGATAAAAACTCCTTTTTAATGTTTTCTTTTGTAATATATTCCAAATTCTTGAACATTCTTTACTAAAAATATGTTTTTCTTTAATAGCCAAGTAATCTACTTCTAGATGCTGAATGTTTTGTTAAGGTATGTGATGAAGTATGAACTTGAAAGTTAATTTGTGTACGGATATCCTTGACATGTACAATTAAAATAAATGTCATAACTTCTCCATGTTAACAAAATTACATTTTGTGAATTTGTATTTATTTTCATTTTTTTTTACTCTCCAGATTTGTGATTTTGGACTAGCACGTTCTGTTACAAATGTAACTCAAGAACAAGGAGATCCCAGTTTGACTGACTATGTTGCAACCAGATGGTATCGCGCACCTGAAATACTCTTAGCTTCTACTAGGTATGTTTGCCAAACAATCCCAGGGGATTTCTGGTATTAGTTKTTTTTTTTAACTTTGTGATCTTTGTCTATTTTCAGATATACTAAAGGAGTAGACATGTGGTCAATAGGATGCATTTTAGGAGAATTATTGCTTGGCAAGTATTTAATGATGTTCAATTCTTATCACAGTGCAATTAATCTAACCAGGGCCACTTAGACAAGAGAACCAATTGAAATCTAGAATGAAAACAATGCATTCCAACTTTAGGTAGTCTAGCCAATCAGWAACCTATACTGTAAGAGAATGGTAATTTGAGACTGATATTACGCGTAAACAACTTCATTGCCATCACCATTTTCTCATGGGAATTAAAAATATATCTTTGGCAGCTCCACTATCCAAAGTTGGAATGTATTAGTTTTTCGTTTTATTCAACAATAATTGGTTCTCGCTGTCTAGGTGGCCCCGGTTATAGTAGTCAACACTGTAAAATTAATGTCAATCTTTTATAGTCTGCATTTCTTTCTGTACGTGTCAGCATCCTAATTTGTCAGCATTCTAATGATGATTGTGAGAAAGAAAATCATCAAAAGAATGCCAGCACATGGAAAAAGTAATGCAAACTAAAAACTTGCTGTTTGTGGGTGGAGTTGTAGAATTTCTAAATGCTTGAACGTGACATGTTTTTCTGGCCTGGAAACTGGCCAGAACATGATGATCCTTAGTATTTTTTAATGTAGTTTTTATTATACTAATTATGAAAATTAGGAGTATCTTATGTTGTAATCAACTCAATTATTGCAGGAAAACCATTATTCCCTGGAAGTTCTACCTTAAACCAGATCGAGAGGATTATGGCATCAATTTCACCCCCAACAAGACAAGGTAAGGATATATATTTGACCCTCAGCACAAAAACCCAGCTTAACAAAATTGGCGCTGCAATGCATTTCAAGTACCTGACTTTGATAAGTATAAGACTATTTTCAGGTTTCCTAACACCAAATTACCATCAATTGTTTATATTTATCGATCCTTACTTTTGACCAGTGATGTTAAGCCAGAAATGAGATATAACTGAGCTAAAGCTACTTTGGCTTGTAATCCTGATTGGTGACTGCAGACTAGCAGTTTTTATCTAATATTTTTGATGTGCATTTATTTTCCAGATGTGGATAGTATCAAGTCCCATTACAGTTCTTCTATCTTAGACCGAATGRCTTGTAAGCCAAAGAAGAGTTTAGAAGACTTGCTTCCAACAACTCCTCCAGATGCAATCGATCTTCTTAAACGTTTGTTACATTTCAATCCAGACAAACGATTGACAGCAGAACAAGCTCTGTCTCATCCTTATGTAGCTAAATTTCATAACCCAGATGAGGAACCATCACTTGATTATGACATTGTTCCCCCATTGGATGATGATGTGCAACTCAGTGTTGAGGAATACAGAATTAAGCTTTATGAGGTACACAAACATGAATCTGCAAATTTATGGCCCAAGAAATTCTCTCTTTTTCATAGACCCGACTCCTGTATTAAGCTGTACTATCTAAGCACACCTTTATGCCAGACACCTTTTTTGGTCCATCGGTGTCCATATTATAGAGGCTTAAAATTTGAACTTCATTCGAAATTTGAAATTCCAGTTATAATGTCAAGTTATAATTTGACATTTGAGACAAATCAATTTTCAATGGTTCTAAGCTATTATTTATGAATAATCAATTGGATACTAAGGTGTACAGAGTTGCTTCATGTATGGGATCAAGTTTGTTTAATGTTTCCAGCTGACAAAAGTTAAGGAAACTAACTAGTTTAATCTTTATGTGTTATGTACAACAGAGCATTGTGCAGAAAAAGACAAACATTAGAAGACAAAGAAGAGAATTGCTTCAGAAGGAGTTGAAAGAACAAAGACAGGTAACTCAAGCTGCAGCAAATGCTGCCAAGTCACAAAAAGAACAAGCACCCTGTAGAGCGAGTGAACCACTTAAACCAGTAGAGAACCAAGCCGCAAACATTGCAGCTGCTCACAATAATACAGATGTAAGTAGTCAAGCAATGAAGTCACCACCAGCTAAACAAGAACCTAGTAAAATAGTTGCATTTGGTAGAACTACGTCTACAACACCCCCAAGAGCAACATCAAGGAATCTACATGTTAGAAGATACAGCCTTGAAAATGATAATGTAAGTGTGTGACTGTAATGTTATGCTCTACATTTTTCATTTAAAACCTTTTCTGAGTTCGATAAAGAGATAGCATTGTGGTCTAGCTTTGGTACAAATAACACTTTAAAAGGTGTGATAAACAAAAGATATTTGTACTCAAGCTAGACCACAATGTATCATGTTTATATCAAACTCAGAAAAGGTCAATGCACCAACTCATTTGTTTATTACATCGTTAATAAAAATGTCTTTTTTTACCACATAGGTAATGTCTGGTTCTAAGCCTCAAGCAGCAGGAAGGTCTAGACCAATCTCAGCACAGATTAAGCCGAGGAATACTATAATTACAAGAGCAAGCAGCACTGATGGCCTTCACATTACCAGTGCTCGCTTGGTATGTATCAGTTTACTAAACGTCATTTTTTAGCTCCATGAATATATTAGTTTTACTTCAGAAACTCATTAATAGACCTCTTCGGCTTGGGGTAATGTTTTCCCATTTCAGACCATGTGTCATTCCCTTGAGAACAAGATTCTTTGTTTGAGCTGTATCCATATTCATGTGTCTTCTCATGTGCAACCGAACACAAACCTTAAACAAAGAAATGATACTCTAGAAAATGGCATGAGATCTGAAATGGGAAAACATTATGTCAGAGCCCAAGAGAAACTTGACTTAACATCCATCCAACATAAAAAATTCCTTAGTCTTCTCGTTACATGTAATATCTAGTTTAGTGCTTCCAAGTTAACATTCTTATAATGGCATCCAATTTCAGATTCCTGCACAAAGACCATCTTCAGCCAAACCACCCTACAGACCAACAAGAAAACAAGTCCAAAACCCAATCCAACAATCAACATTTGGAAGCTACACTCAAACACATGGTGTTATTTCAAAAAGTTCTTTGCATGCTTTGCATTCAAGGATATTTTAAATGTTTTATAATTATTGATAAATTAAATATTGGTAGTTAGGAAATTATTTAAAGTATTCCATGGCTAGGTATTCAGCTTTGGTGATTTTATTTTGGAGCAGCGGCAAGTTCAGAAGTAAGGACAGTCCCAAGGCAATGGCCATTTATGACTGCACCTCGAATTGCTGCTGAGTATACTATAAATATACAAAACTTTTATCAAACTAATTAGCTTGTACTATTTAATTTTCTATCAAGGAAATGTTCCTATCATGAGAAAAAAAATGCTGTACAGGGTACAATATTATATAGATTAGAGACAAACTTTTGTATTATAAATATGTTTTAAATATACATCAATAAAACCTAGTCTTCAAGTACAACAACTTTGCAAGTCATAGCTAGCTAGATAGGAAGTACATCCAGAAGTTTCTTGAACTTTAGGAATAGCTTTTTATAACTTGTGAATATCAAATGTATTTGATGATCCTTATGTTTGTACCATACATGATAAGTACCATACGACTAGAGCCTGACAATCAAATCTGAATTTTGAGATTTCAACCTTGGCCTTTTGGCAGCCATAAAAGTGAATTTTTTCAGAGTCTATGTGAATTTGCATGTTTCATTGGTCAGCTGTCAGAACAATTCATTGTAAGAACGATTCATTAGCCTCCTATAATACACGTCTGCATACRAGGGTAGTGAAATATCAAGACCAAGTGTATTATTATTTAGGATTAGGAAATATTATATTATTGCATTTTTATAAATAATTTAAATCTTAGCAAAGAGATTTTAGATTTCTTTATTGTAAATATTATAGTTTGCCTACATGCAGATGAAAATAAAAGCTAATCAACACTACTTTGCAGTGTATATTTAGTAGTAATGCTATATTAATATATATGGTTGGCATATGCTGCTAATACGTCGTCTTTCACTGCTGTGAGTCCAATGGGTTGGGTCTCTGGTTCGAGCCCTGTGGTCGAGTTGAGTTTGTTGAAAATAAATAAAATAAATTCCCTCCTATTAATTCAACAAGGAAACAGCTTTTGGTGAAATAAGAAAATTTGACCCTCCACAAAAATTTGAAATTTTTACTTATGACCCTTCTACCCTATAAAGCCCCAGCCATCCCCTAATATAAAATGTACCTTCCTTAAAAATACCGAAGAAAATAATGAACATGATGGTTTGTGATTAAACCTTCCTAATGAACTCATTATTAAACTTCTCCATAAGCTGAAGGCATCTAAATAAATGACATCCTGGATCAACATTTCTGATTGGTTCTCCTATTGGCTCATAGCCTAGTTTTTGAAAGAACCCTTTTGCCTTTTCAGCACTTTTCAGCCTTATTGGTCTTTTTAGTTTAGCTCTCAACTTTTGTTCCAAATGCTGCACCATGATTGATCCATAGCCATTTTGCTAAAATTGAAAAAACAGCATTTTTAGATGATTTTGTAAGTGGAAGGAGCATGGGTACATTGTTATAAATAATATTATGAATATAAATTTTAGCATCCTACATCCCAATCTTTTGCTTAAACTGACCAGTGTGTGTGGAACAGATATATATATAATAATAATAATAATAATGGGATTAACAGTGGATTCCACAGAGTTGCTCTTCTTCCACTGGATTCCAATTGGAATTTAGAAGTTGATTTTTGCATAGGGAGGAAAGCCGAACAACCTGGAAAACCCTTGAAGCACAGGAGAGAACCAACAAACAACTCAACTCCTCACATACAACATCTAGCTCGTCAGGACTCAAACATGGCTAAGCCACCTGTGCTTCCCATATACAACTCACTTGACCAAAACAGTACTGATAACATTCTCATGATGCTGGAGTGTTAGTGTTCTGCTTCAAAGTGGCTGAGGATAGTATGGGATTAGGATCATTTGGCATGCGAAAAGACCCCAATGACATCCAGAGCATGCACCCAGCTGTTGACTGATGTTAGTATTAAGGACTTACCTGAAAATCTTTATTGACAAACAAAAAATCCAACCAGTGGTAAAAGGATCTATCGTTTGGGTCAAATACATTAGAGTTTGCATTTTTTCCACTTGCTACAGAAACCACTCCATCTAAGGAAAAGAAACAATTTTATTACATTGTCTATGCTTATTTGTTAATTCATTTATGGACTATTAATTCATTCACTCCCATAACATATTTAATTTCCTAAACATGGTTTCGTAATGAATCCAACAAGCTCATCAATCTACGAACCTTACGTACCTTTCAAACTGTTGTGTTGAATTGTACCAAACAAGACGATGCCTCCTTCAGATGGCTCCATAGATTCACCACATATCTCCCTAGATACCGTTCTGAATATCCTACGATTTTTGACATTATTTTCTACCTCAAAGGCAAGCAGCACGGGCTCCATCCAGCCAGATGCACTTGTCGACATCAGGACATCAGGCAATCACTTCAATATATTAGCTTAAGACATTGATAAGAACCAATTTATCTTTCTTCATTGATCAAGAAGGCTATTACCTTGATTGTAACACTGCAAGTAAACAGAAAAATATATAGTATCGGTCAGAATTCTCGATAAAAGAAGCTGAAGAAAATCCTCACAGCAAAATCCAACAGGCGTTCCCAACCGAGCCACAGGAAAACCATAAGACTCTGAAAGATTGATAATTTATCACAGGAAGCCCAATTTAGATAAATAATAAAATACAAAAAATAAACCTTTATTTATTCTGATATTTTTTCTGCATTTGAGGTCAAAGTAGTGTCTTCTTTCACCAGCGAATAAGAAACCAAATTACATTTTTTAAGCAAATTTTGGGATCTTTCCGACCCCAATTTTACCCACGACCGCTGGCTCGTTTCACTTTTTGAGCCCGTGATACTTATGTTTTTGGCGCCATTTAATTTGAGTCGGAAAAAGAAGATAAAACAGGATGTGAAAGTACGTTCAMATTCCCGACAAATTATCGCTATAAAACGACATGTTTATCCACATAACCTTGTCGATAATTCAAGACGATGTTAAATAACAACATGTGAAAGATGCGCTGTGTTGTTCCTGGAAGATCTCTAAAACGTGAGACAAAGTTGTACAAATTTTAAGTTGAAGCTTACTTTTCTTGACATAAGCTTATTCACGGAATAATTTGATTATAACATTCACAGTGTTCGCCAAAGCAATTCATTGTTTATCAAAAATTGGAGAAGAATTGTACTTGGAAGCCTTGCCAGATGGAGTAAGTTTCTAAATGAAATGTGTCTACAATTTTTTATAATTTTATGTTGGACTAAGTGTCCATTTGCTGCAGAAAATGTTTGCTTATTTTACTCAAAAAACTTCTCATCAAAGTGGTAGTATCTTGGGCTGCGTAGGTGGAGAGCTGGGGAGCTGGCTTTACATAATTAGCACCCCACTTTTTCAGCCCTGGTTTTAAGATTTTCGGGGGTTGAGGGGGTAGTCTGGAACTACCCAGGTCCCCACAGATTTAACACCCCAATCAAAATTATACTCTGCAGTCCATGAGGAAAAGTGTAAAGGTGCTCTCTCTCAAGTGCTGGTCTTTAACTTTAACTCATTTAAATTTTCGATTGCCATTTTGGCAAAGGGTCTATAATTTATTTATTTATCTTACCGTTTCCAACTCAAATATTTTGGCCTTCATATCTTTCAACAGCTTGCACTCAGGACTGTCAACCTCTCAAGGTCAGCATATGCCTGTTTTAAGTTCCATTCCAGCTTCTTTTTGAGCTATGATGATGGTAGCAAAGACTTGACAGATGAATCACAAGCTGAAGATATGCTCAAGTGTAAAATTGCTATGAAGGTTAGCATCAGCATTCTGGGGGAAGGATCATAGGAAGGATATGTTTAAATTGGCATCAGGAAGCTGGGAGGTAGAGAAGGGAAAGACATGTTGACATTCGTATCCTGGTGGCAGAGAAGAGAAAACTGCAGATATATAGTTGGTATCTGCATAGGAATTAACAGACTATTGAATTTATGATGAATGTAGAGGTACTCTCTAGATATATCATCATTAAGCCTTCATTATTATTATCATTATCATCATCATCATCATCATCATTATTATTGTTTTTACTTTCAGTCATGTCTATCAGCATTCAAGTCAATGAATACTATTGAAAAATCAGTAGATAGGTGCAGAATTGATCTCAACGTTTCCAAAGCCAGACTCGTTTTCTTACTTTTCTGCAAACATGGTAAGATGCGCTATTCTCCTGGTACACACTCAATTTCAAAATCATTGCCAGGTTCAAGACATTGAACATTTGAACATAGAAGCTGAGACTTCAAGATACAATGATTTTGCAATTGAGTATATCTGATGAAGATTATGACGTGCTAGTAATCCGGGGGCATACCAAGGTCTCAACTGCAGGGAGGCAATGTACCATTTTCCAGCAAAATCCACAGGAATACCACATGAATTAATTAAATTATGGTGCCGAAAGCATACTTTTAGGGGTGCACGTGCCCCCTCCCCATGTTAGTGACAGTGATGCAGTCTAATGATTGACGTAAAGGACAGTTATAAGGATGACAATAACTATTGTATTAAATATTTTCTTACCAGGAATTACCAAAACCCACAATCTAACATTCCAGGAATGTGAGACGCTTCAAGCAGTGTTCACCAAAGATCTGTGTCCTAACTTTATAACAACCCAGCCAAAGTAAGTTTTTTCATCTTTTCACTGTGCATAATTTACCTTTTTATCATTACTGTTCCAACCAAAGTATGTTGTTAAGGTAAAATACAAGAACAGCACAACGGATACCCTGTCAGCTGTGTTCAATTGATGTTCAACCATTAAGAAAGTTGAGAGCTCTGAGTGGACATGTCTTTCGACTGTCAAATGGCCGGAATTTGGTTGACGGAACATTTGGGACACTGTTCATGCATTTTATCAATATTGGAAGATATCTTCCATTGTGGACCATATCATTATTATTATTAACATCAAACACATAGTTTAGGGTGTGATTTAAATTGATTACTGATAGTTCTTTCAATTGGGGGGGAGATAGTTCCTTCACTTTTTGAGGCGGGGTGGGCAATAGGACTCCAGTTGTAAATTAATAGGGATGCTTGTCATATCAGCCCTTTCAGGGCTCCAGAGCTGAGATTTGGTATCACTTAGGGTGTCACCATCAGAGAGTAAGCTGGTACCTCTTAGGGCATTTGTCAGAAAATAAGATACCCAAGATTTGGTAATGACATCTGGAATTACTGTCAGTTGCAATTCAAGATGCTTATTTTTTTCATTTTCATTTTTTTCTAATTACTTTTGATGTCCATCCCTTAATTTTTTTTCATTTAGTTGTCATTGTTTTTTTAATATTTTATCAATATTTTTCTGTAGAGTACTCATGGACACAGTCTCTAACTTTCCAAACAACCAAGAGGAGCTATCGTTAACAGTTACACCTGAAGTAATTAGGTTTAAGAATTATACTGATGATGAACCAGGTACTTAACTTAAATATTCTAAAATAAAAACATCTTCCTTTTATTGTATTTGCTGCTGTTGCTGTTGTTATTTTCACTCATATTTTGTCGTTATTGTAGTCTCCTTCTCATCCAGTTTTAGCCTCCAGTTTTACTAGGCAATCCCTGATGCAAATTAGATTTTTGTCATTGCTGTTATTCTAAACGTTCAAGATCTTTGGTTGCATAATTGTTACTACACTTTGACAAATTTTCTTATAGATCCCAATAAAGTTATCCATACTCAGACCAGTCTCAGTCCAGACGAATTTAATAACTATCAGATAGGAGTAGACACTGATGTGACATTTTGTCTCAAAGAACTCAGGGTATGAATGTTTGAGTTTTTCTATTGCAAGAAGGTGATCCTTAAAGTGCATATATTAGCTCTAAGTGTGGAGAGAAGGGCTGTCATTTAAAGTGGTCAACCAAGACGCTTAAAAGTCTAGCCATTTTGTAGATATTAGTTATTTTAAGACCCTGAGGGTTGGTCTGGCTGGGACTTGAACCACATCCTCCAGCACTAAAGCCCAAGACCCAACCAAGTAAGCAAAGAGGGTGTTAGTTTCAAGCTAGTCAAAGCCAGTGAGATTCATTCAAGAAGGCTCAAGTGATAATCCTGAGCCTCCCTCATAGTCAAAACCTGTCTTTGTAATTGTACATAAGTGTTTTTCAAAAGCTTTGAAACTAAATCTTTCTTTCTCTCTTTTTTTACTCAAGGCAATTTTAGCTTTTGGAGAATATTCAGGGCAACCAATAAACATTCATTTTGAAACTGGTGGAAAGTAAGTGACATTCATAATCACATTAATTAAGAAGTGTGGTTCCAGAAAAGTAAATCCATAACCCCACAATGGAGCAATTTTTTTAGAGAAAGGTCCCCCACCCCACCCCTCTGGAATTTCCAGTTATCTTCCATACAAATTTTTTAATTTTGTTTTTCCTCTGATTCATTTGATATTTTCTGGTATCACTACTGACATACTACTGAATATTTCCAACAACAACAAAATAAAAGAATTTCCTGGCAGCAAATTATAAACATTTTTAAAGCTTTTTTTKGGGTTTTGCAGGCCCATAGTGTTCAGTATGGATGCTGACTCCACATATGAAGCAGACTTTGTTCTTGCTACTCTTGTGGATGAATTGCCGTCATCTTCTCAGTCCTCTCAAACATCAACTACAGCTAAATCATTAACCTCCAACAAGTAATTAAAAAGCATGTAAACCCTGATTTTGTATTCTCAGTATTGATTCTACCTGAAGGCAATAGTTGAATGGTAAAATATATTTACTCCTTCACTCAATCCAAAAACCATTCATCAGTAGCATTGTTATATGCTTTACTTCAAAGTTTTTGTAAATCAGTCAAAATTAGATAAGATTAGCTAAATCTAAATTAGTAGCTCTGATACTGAGAATATTGAACCAAAGGTTTTGATCACTTCATTAAGCAAAATGAAAATAGCGTTTAATGTTCCCATGTACGTATGTATAAAAGTTGTTTAGCCTAACTATTGGCCCTTCAAACTGCACACATGACTAAGTAAAGAAGTTACAACTTCTTTTAAACTTATTGCACTTTTATTGAACTGGATTACTCATCAGCGACAGCAAAGGGGGTGAGGCTGGGGAGGCTACAAATCCCCTCCCCTCCCCCACCACCTCACTTTTACCTTTTCCCATACTTATAATTTCCAATCTAAGCCCCCCAGTTTTTCCCATACTAGTCTCTCATAATTTCCAATCTAAGCCCCCCTTTTTTTAGGATGCTCCGCGACCCCTGCTCATATTTCCATATTTCATATATGTATTCGTTTTGATATTATTTTTTTTGTCATACGTTAATTCCATTCTCCATTCTTCTTCATTTTAGGAAGTCCTCTCAGAATCCCAGAATTCCAAATGGGAAACTTATAGCAAATGAATCAAATTCTCTTGCTTCAAAACAACCCAAAACCAATGTTATACATGACAAGGAGGCTGAAAATGATGTTGCCAGGCAACATGGGGACCATAATGATGACGACGATGATATGGCTGATGAGGAAATGAACGAATTGGTGATACCAAATCTTGAGGAGGCTGAACCAGAGGAATTACCATTTGGTAGTAAAAGGTACAGCCACCTGAATTTTACACAGCCATTAATACCAACAGGGAATGTTAACTTTAAATTCATAAGCGGCTGGACATTTAAATGCTTTGCACAATATGGTTTTGAAACCTTTATTTAGCCAGGGTGACCCATTCAAAAGCTGGTATACAAAGGGGCCCTGTACATTATAGACCTCCTCAGCTCAGGCAAGCTCAAACTTGTTTTTCCATTTGAGACCTTGTGTCATTCCCTAGAGTATCGTTTCTTTGATTAACAGTTGCATATGAGAAGACATATGGATACAACTTAAACAAAGAATCTTATTCTCAAGGGAATGACACAACTTATTTTTTTCCCATTTACTTTTTATCTATTTTTTATTATTATTTATTTATTCATTCATTCATTTGTTCATTTGTTTGATTGATTGTTTGTTTATTTATTTATTTATTCATTCATTCATTTCTTTATTTCACAACAAGTATCTTTATTACCAATTATTTCTTGTTGTGGTTGTTATTTAGCAATGTGTAGTTCCAGAAAAAATTCATACCCCACCCAGGAAAAAAATTGGAAATTCTGTAGGGGAGGGGGATCAGAGAAAGAACAAAATTACAGAGTTTGTATGGAAGAAAATGGGAAGTTCCTGGGGAAAGGGGGGTACATTTTAGAAATTTCCTCCCTCGTTGGGGTATGGATATTTTTTGGGAGTACACAATCAGGTAGGATACAGGACAAAGGTCAGAGGTAGAAAATAACACTCACACAGCCAATCAGAACACACAATTTTTAGGATATAGAACTGGAAATTAAATTTTAAATGAAGTTGTTTTACCAACTTAGTGAGTGTTAACTGCCCTTTTGTCATCTTTAGATATTCCAGTGTAAGTCTTAGTAAAGCTAAGAAGGAGGGGGCAGTACGTCAAGGTCAAGGTACATGTTATTCACAGTTAAATGAAATTTAGAAAAATAGAAATTTATAAATGAATGAAAAATTGGGGCATTAACAAATGAAAATGTTTTTTTCTAGATGTTATGGGCATAAACAAAAAGTTATCGAAAATTCCTAAAACAAGCCAGGAAAAATCAATGATGGGACTGTATCCTTGCTTGCTTGCTTTAATATTCTTGTTTTTGACGCAAATTAAAAATCCTAGATGACAGAACCATTTAATAATAGTAGTATTAATAAAAATAATGATAGTGATGGTGATGATGGGAATGGGAATGGGAATGATGATGATGGTGGTGATGATGATTAGAATGAAGATGAAGATGATGATGGGGATGATGATGATGATTAAGATTGTTATGGTGATGATCATTGTAATGGTGATGATCATGATAAAAATTCTTTAATTAAACCAAAGAAATGTCAGTGCAAACCCTATCCAGACTCCACCAAGCAGTATAAATGGTAAGTGTTATATACTTAGCTAATGAAATGCATGTGATAGATGTAAACTTGTCAAGATAAATTCATTTAATTGACAAATAAAACAGCTTTTAATAAAGTGCGAAGGAAGTGATGTAAGCAGGAAAGAAGTGAGTGCTTACCACACTTCCTAAGTGCTTTATTATTGAACAGAGCACAGAAAAAGCTGTTTTATTCATYTTATTACATAGTTACTATTTTTTTCGGCATTGAATTTATTTACGCAAAAAGAAAGATGGTCAAAGGATCTAGCAGCACTTCATGTGAGCGGATGGCATCAGCACTGTGCTCCGTTCACTGATAAAGCACAGTTTTCGACCAATCAGTGTGTGTGTACTATCCTAACTAAATAGTAATTAAATATGTTATTGTTTTTGTGCTTCAGATGTTTCTTTTTTAAATAACGTGGATATGGTAAGTACAGAAAAATGATTATAGAAAAGTATTTTTTAAATAAATGTTGTTTAATACTTCTACTCAAACTTAATACTTAACTTAATTTTGGAATAAGAAATAAGTCCAAGAATTATATAACATCAACCCACTGTTTAACTCTTATTTTACCCCTTCCACTGTTTCTCAGTATCTCCACATCGGTTTTGACTTCTCTCTGTTCTGTGTAGCTTTAAATAACTGTAATAAGGAGCACTGATAGTCTGAGGGGGTAAAGAGTGCACCTTAGAACACCTTATTTTTGGCTTGGGAAAATTGGGCAAGTCCACTTTCCACATTATCGAAGTAAAATAAATTACCCTTGCCTTTACCTTTTAGTTGTCAGGAAGGAGGTAATAGCTCACATTTTTAACTGAGGGAAAAAGACTAAAGCCTAGGGCAAACGTCAAACTTTCCATACACCTCATTAAAAACAATGGATATCAGGTGATAATGAGGCAGCAATCTTTGATGTAATTAAGTTCGGTGCATGGAAAGTTCGACGTTTGCCCTAGGCCTAATTTTTTGTCTTTTGTGCAGCCCTCATTGGGAAATAGCTTCTCAAGTCAAAAAAGTCCACAGTTTGGAAAAAAAATGATTAGTCAATCCAAGAAGCATCAGTCTGCTGATGACAGCTGTGCAACGTTGGATGATGATGATTATGACTTTGTTCCTGGTACACCACCAAGTAAAAAGGTGGGTATAGTAAAAAATGTAATGAAATGATTCAAATTATCTGAAAAATTTTGGTGGTTTGAGTTCCGTTATGAAGAAGACAGAGATTCAAGGAGAATTAATGAAAAATACCATGTGCATTTGATGAACGTAGCTTTAATACTATGAGTGCATAGCACAAGCCTAAGTAGTATTTGAAATAAGTGTTTTTAAAAGAACTAAGATAGTACTACATTAACACCATCAAGTACTATTTTACTTCCTGTATTAGCCTCATGAGTTTTGAATACATCTGAGATAGCTGGTTTTAAGTATTTTTATGGCTTTAATTTTCAGTTCAAGTCTATGTTCTTTGGAACTCATTCAGAAAGCCATTTGCAGGTAACACAACTTTTTTTAAAAAGTCATATATAATCATGAGTTATTAATAGGGAAGAGTAACAAAGCATCATCAGGGATGGATATAAGGGGGATAATGGTGATGAGGCTGAGGCCGAGGCCGCCTTTTAGTTTGGGGTTCCTTTTTTTACCTTCTTTTTTTTCCAAAATATCCCCAGAACACAGGAAAGTATTTCTGGAAATGATATTTTAAGAATTTAACTGGAGCTCTGCACTCTGGCTTACCTCATCTGGTTTCAATCAGTCAGTGATGAGATTTGTCTAATGCTGAATTTTTATGCCCCCCCTCCCTTCTCAAATTCCTGGATCCATCCCTGAGAATCCCCAATATGAACAAGAGTTTTTAATGCTTGCATTTTGCCAGGAGATCCCCAAGGCTCCAGTTCTTGCTGCTGATACTGATGATGAAGATTCCGACTAATTTGTCTAAGAATCTTATGTCAAGTGTATACTTTATATCAATGCTATTAATGTATGTTGCCGAGCCTTGCTTGAAAACAAAGCAGTAATACTCAATCAATGGTATGTGATGTAATATAGGACAATATTACATTTTGAGGTGAAAAAGGTTAACTAGAAAAAAAAGTTATCTAGGTTCTTGCACGATTCTGCATGTTTGCAGTATTTCTTCAAAGGTTGTACTAGTTTTATCGTAAGGTACAAAATATACATTGCAATTGAGCTTTATAAAAAACTATTGTATTATCGTGAAATTATTTTAGTATAAATGAATCCTTGTCCAGGTTCCTAAAATGACATGGGTTTTGCCTTCTCAGTCCTTCTGACGGTGTCTTTCATTCGTAACTGATAGAAGTATCAAAATAGATAGCATAAAAATAATGAATGTATTTTGAACACCGATCAAACCTTTAACAAGGCGAGGGCGGATCCAGGGGGTGAATTTGAAGTCACCCCTCTTTCAAGTTGAAAAATAATAAAAATAAAAAATAAGGTAAGACCTAAAAAGGACGCTATGTGATGCAGTCACCCCCCTTGAAATCGTTCTGGACTTGCCTCTGCTTTGTTGTAGTCAGAGAAAAAGAGAAAAGAAAATAGTTCAGACAGAAAAGAAGATTGAAAGGCCGCCATTTACAAGACAAGATTAGCATAACCTCTGAACTCTCTTTCGAAAGCAACCTTGATTGCTCTTGTCAAACAACAAGCCAACAACAAAGCCATGACTTGAAGAGTAATAATCACTGCTCCTATAGAGATAACAACTCCAGTGTGTTTTAACAAGCCTTGATGTACTGAAAGCAACCCTGCTGGTAGACGTAGAGATGTGCAGGCTTGGAGGCTGTATCGAGGTTGTCTCCACAAGTTCCTAAATGCGTGGTGTTAGCTAAACAACAGGAGCGTGGTACGTTATTAACCCAGATCGTACTTGAATTCTGCTTGCTTTTGTTCCATTCGGAATTGAACCAGTCCTTGTAGCGTTCCGCTCCACAACAATCGTACTTCTTTTGGACTTCATCAATGAGTTCTTCTGCGTATTTATCCATTTCGTATTTACTTATAATTTCGCTTGAAAATTCCTGCAGGACTGTGAAAACTCTTACATGAACATAGTAAACCCACAAACCAAGAGCGACTTCAATAACGATAATAATGGCTAGCGCGTAAGAAAAGAACTTGAGAGCGCCATAGCTCTCTCTTATTGAGCCATAACACCCAGTAAATCCCAGAATAGCAATGACCAAACCAACAGTGATAATAATAGCAGAAGCACTTGTGAAACTAGTTCGAGTAATGTCATTCACGTCACCATAAAGTAATTCGCCAAGACCACCAATAATTGTGAGACTAAGTCCACTTAGCCACCCCAAAAAATTCGAGAAAAATAGGAAATATTTAAAACAAACCATAGATCYATCACTTATTCGAGATCTCATGTTAAAGGAAATTTTGGTCGCTATTTGTAAACGCGGTGTACTTACTCTTTGCTGAAAATCAGAATGTGGCAATCATTCAATGACATCACGAGATAATTGCTTATTTATTAAACTCATGTGGACATATAATACCTTATAAAATATATCTTACTAATTCTAGCGTTGTGATTGGTTGAGTGCGTGCTTTAGCACATAGTATAGCACACGCATGCACTTTCTATTTCGCCATTCGTTTTGTAATTTGTAAAGAAACAAAAAAAAAAAAATCTTTTTCTTGCGGTGTGCATTTAAGGCCCCGTCCACACGTATCCGGAAATTTTTGTATCCGCAATTTTTTTTTTTTTTTTTTTTTCGGATACGAAAATTTTTGCGTCCACACGCAGCGTATTCGAATCGTTTTCACCGTCCACACTGTCCGTTTTCGTAGAATTTCCGGATACGGATACAAAAATTTCCGGACACGTGTGGACGCAACCCGTATCCGCAAAAAAAAATTTGCGGATACAAACATTTCCGGATATGTGCAGACGGGGCCTAAAACGCACGCGGGGATTGGCAGAACACGAGAAAAGTGTTAGAAAAAGGCTATGGCTGCGGGAAGGTGCCCCCTCTTCAATCCCCCGCCTCGAACTCCGCAATTCTCGAGGAGATAGCAAGCCGGGAACGCGTACCAGAAACCACAGCTGTTATTTTGATTGGCTGGTGTTAATTTTTGTAGCTTGTGATGATTGGCTATTAACAGCAGGCCATTTAATTGTCGTGATTACGCACGGCACCCAAGTACATTTTTATCGACTACATTCATTGATACTTGCACTGAAAAAAAACTCTTCGTGATTTTCAATCTTTGGGTGTTTATTGATAAACATTTGAGACCAGAAAGACTGCGAATTACCGTGGAAATTATCAGGGAAATACAGCGGAGCGGGGTGAAAAACTGCATGATTTCAAGCTTTTAGCGACAGTGAAAATTGTGATACCACACCTTATAAAAGGTTTGTAACCATATTTCTGATGCTCTTAAGCTAGGAAGTGTTAATTGAAGATGAGGTAGGATACTATGCAGAGAATTTAAGTTAAATATATCTTTTGCCGGCTGAAAACATGTTTCTATAAGCCATGATCAATTCATAACAATTCAACCATAAGGGAATATAAATGGATTGAGAAAAGATTTGTTTGTTTTAAAGTTGGCATCTGGTCCGATATTCGATTGAGACGTGCTTCCGAGTACTTAAATTGAGCTACTGCTTTCAGCTAGTGAATTTCTAGTAATTTTGGAGAATCAACGCTGAAAATACACACAGAAACGAGAAAGAAATATTTAGATATTTTTTCTCGTAGTGATTCGATATTATGAACCCGTTATATGAATAATGAAATATTTAAAAAAGTTCAGTAGTGAGTTCGGTTCAGTAATTCATTAATTAATTGTAGGGCAAAATGTGAACTACAGTACTGTACTGGGCTACCACTAATGTATGTCACCCTCGTTAAATCATAAAGTTACTTTATCATATTTATCTACTTATTTATACCTACATTCAAAGGCCACATTCACAATCARTGCGTTTTCAAATCGCTCCGTTAATTTTGCCCGTCTCACGGATAACTTGCCGATCGAAAGCTTCGCGGCCACACTCTAGCGTTTTCATCGCCATCCACACTAAAACGATCAAAAAAGCAGATACCTGATCTAAAATAATGCGAAATTGTCATCTGCGCATGCGACTGAACAGGCGTGAACGAAGTTAGTAGTATATCAAAAGTCTTCGTTTTCGATTGTCCACACTAATACGATAGGCTAAATCTCTCCACTAGAGCGTTTTCAAATGTCTCCACGTTTTGAGAGCGTTTAAATAAGATAACTTCAATGTCAATGTAATTAGTTTATACAACTAATTGGGGACACTGAAATGAAATAATCAAAGAAACGTAAAGTGTTTTAAGAATCCCAACTGGCAAGGAGGCAAAACAGTTGGCTATTTACAAGCATGGTCGAGAAACTGAATCTGAACTTATCAGGAATCGGGACAATAGCGCAGCGCAACCGTGACGTCATAAAAACGAAGACAAGGCGAAATTCGGACAAACAAACTTACAAATTTACTTTCAGCAGATAAGTTTCACAGCCGATCGCAGTTGATCTTAGTTTACATGGGTTGTTATTGTAACTTTAAGTAAAAATAATAAAATCGGTTCGTATAATCCTCGTAGTGGTTAAACAGAATGCAACGTTTGTCCGAATCTTAAGCTATTGTTAGAATCAGTGCGCTGCGCTATTACAGTCTCAGCTAGTGGCCACAGCAAACTCGAACAAGGCACAACCGGATTGCGAGACCGACGCTATGACCACTCGACCATGCTTCCTCCTAAAAGGAAGGTACCAAGACAAAATTGCATTGAAACAAAAAAAATGGGTGTAGTTTTTTTCCTTTAAATATTTAATTATAAAATAGTAAAAACAACGTGAATTAACAATTCATAAAATCATCAATCATTCATACTGATAAATAAAGTCGGCGACATTAGGATCAATCTTGTCCTCTTTCATTCTAGATGTCAACAACAATACTGGCCCGATTTTTCTAGATATCCTTTCAGGTATACCAAAGCCATGGTCTATGTGACCAGAACCACATATACCAACAACTTTATTGTTTTCCGACGTTTGAATGATCTTATTAACAGAGTGAGCAAAGAAACTATCTCTGAGAATTTGTGCCGGGAAAATCTTTCGATATTTGTCATTCACTTCATCCATTTTACCACTTATCAAGCCTTGAAAATATCTGTAATGCTCTTCTGAACCATTAACGTAAAAGCTTTTATCAGGACCACCAATATTTTGAATATTTTTTAGAGTCGTTTCTTTGCCATCACTAACCATTTCTTTACAGGATGATTTTGGAACAAACCCCGCTATTACTGTAATGCCCAAACTTCGAGCTGTGTCTAGAAGATAGCCGTAGTGTTCCATGATAGCAAAGCCTTCAGTATCCTGTTCGTAATTTTTTTCAAGTTCTCTGATTGAAATCTCATAATTCCGATATGCATCTAACAGAAACTGTTGCTGAAAATTAAACATCTCTAGGACAAGGAATATCTTTTGTTTCTGTTGATTCTGTTTGAAGTATTCTTCTGCTTGTGAAGCCATTCCTTCTAAAACACAGAGCTGAGCCTTAAGGATCGAAGGCTGTTCGTGATGTTCACCGAAGAGTACTACAACGAATTAATAGAAAATAAAGCATTATCTATACAGAACCGTTGATTTTGAAGCATTCGCACATAGAGCGTAAAGACGCTGAAATACGAGACACAAAAACGTATAACTTGTCGCGCAACATTGTCTCTCAACTTGCAACAAAAGATTTTGTTGTGTGACAAGTTGGATAGATATGGTGTAAAACGAGCAACATCGTTTTCGAACTTGCACCGCAACAATGTTGCGCGACAAGTTGGACGTTTTTGTGTCCCGTATTTAAGCGCCTTAAGCAAGTTGGACTGACAATGCTTTTTTTTTTCTTTTTTTTTCTTTTTTTTTTTTTTTTTTCCCTTGTCACTGTGGCCAAAGCTTTACAGGGTCCTGAAAGGAACTGGAATTTGCCTATCTTGCCCTTGGAAAAAATGGGATTTAGGTCAATGGAAATGGGAAAAGAACTACAAAATGGGAATGGGAAAATGTTTTGAAAGAAAAACGTTTGGGATTTGGATGCTGGAAGTGGGATTTGAGAAACAAATCTTAGCCAGAACATTTTTTTATTTTTGATAGGAATAGTTATCATCTGCTAGTGTACTTTCCATTTACCACCTCAAAGTAATTTCCTCCTACTATTAGAGAAATTCAGTTGGCCATAAAACATGCTGGCCTCGATCAGGGGTGGATCCAGGGGTGTTAATATAGGTGACTAGTCAACCCCCTTTTGCTTAAATTTCTCAGTATATCGTTAGTAACAGTCAACCCTTTTCCTCGAATTCCTGGTAAAACCTTTGTAATAGTCACCCCTTCAAAAATTCCTGGACCCGCCTCTGTAGATATATGGCTAACCATTATGCTAGAGTCAAGATACTAAATGACCAATAGGACACTTGCATGATGGCATCATTTGACTCCCACTACCAGAAGTCCCTTCTTTTGTTCAGTAGTACCAATTGTCTTATGATTCTCATGAGGCAATTGGAATTTAAATAAGTACAAATTTTCCAGGAATTTTGGTAGTAGTAGTAAAATGATACCTTAGCCTATTGTTTGCACTTCTTACCAACTTTTGCTGTGCTAGCTCTAGTCATTACATGTTCAAATGAACATGGTTTGATACTTGATCCTTTTACTGACAGGAAACTCAGTGACTTTGATAGCCTTCTGAGGTTTGAGCGAAGTGAAGAACTCATGTTAGTCCAGCTAACCTGTAGAAAGTCAAATCATATTCTAAAACACATGCATGATAGTAATACTTATGATGATGATGATGATGGTGGTGGTGTTGGTGATGGTGATGATGATAAATACCAGCATAGAAATTGGCCTTTTCAAATTTAAAGCAGTTTTCTCGTCAAGATCAGAGTTAAAACTGCCTTTTACAAATTTAATAAATATCTTCCAAATTCTAACGGAATAAGATTAAATATTAAAAGCTTGAAAATCTAAAACAAGATCTTACTCGAAGTTACGTAATTAATGATAAATATACTCGATATATGCTTAGAATGATTGAAAATGGAACATTCCTACGTATAAAACTCTAGTAAACATGTTTATAATAATCAATAGTTGAATATGAGTGGATCTAAAGGTATACTTGCCATGCATTCTTCGTGCATTGAACGAATAAAGTTCATAATTGGGAATCGAATCTCGAAGTTTGAAAGTATCAATAGTACCCAGGCCTTCTGCTCTACCAAAGGGTACCCATACGCAACTAAGGCATTTGAAGAATTTTTTTGTATCTTACTTCAAATCTCCCATACGCATATAAAGCATTTGAAAAAATTTTTGTTTTGGTTTTTATGTTTTTTGTTTTTGGTTGAAATAGCTTAATCAGTACTCAAGTCCACAAACAATTTACTAACGCTTTATGAGTTTTTCGGCGTTATTACGTGCTGAAATTTTACCGATAATTTGGCCAAGATGGCAAGTGACACCTTTGAAGAATCGAAGTTCATTTTAGATATTTGTGAATTCTTGTATTATAATATGAAGTAACGGTTGACTCTTGTGTAGCTTAGCTCGGTCGAATATATGGGTTTTTGAGCCGGATCGCGTGTGATCAAAAAATGGCCCGTTCAAAACTGATCATCCTAAAACGTACACATATACATATCAAACACAAATAATACACCAGAAGTGTTCATTAAGAACCACCTTTATTTCTCTCTTTCTTGGAATGCAACCACTATTTTCAAAATACTACATTTCGGTTCTATAATTCAAATAACTCAGGATTATATTACGATCAACGAATTGCCAGCTAACTGCCATAAAAATGTTGCTGAATAATATATGCAAGTCCTTTGAACGGTAGATCTGGATCGGCTGCCAACTTGCCCAAACTCTTGGGGCTATTACGTATAGGCCGCATGGCTATGAAGTATGACAAGGCATTTATGGTTATTTGTTGTTCCTTGTTATTCGAAACACCGGCTACTCAGTGAAAACTAACTTGCAATAATCTCTATAAGAGCAATGGGGAAAACAATGACGGATTTTAAATTTAATTTATCTGTGCCATAATGTTTCGTATCTTAATCTTCATACGTCACAACATTAGCATATGACATGGAAAAGCCTTTATAATTTCAAGAAGCCGCACTCAAACTATATAATTTGTTCGTGCTAGTCAACATCTTACCCCATCTAGAATCAATACTGTGAATATTGTCAGAAGGGTGATAGGCACTCTAAGAAAACATTGCATTCTGACATTTCTGAGCGGGTCAAACTCGTTCTGTCTTATAGTTAACCTCTTGCACAACTCATCTCTTTTCCTTGAAAAGGACGCTCAGTAACATCCGTTGAGTGGAACCTCGACCAACCTTAGTCGTTGCCTAAAGAGGTTTGGTGGTAAGTTTAATTATCATATAAATGATAAGTAATAACCCAAGTGATTCATCTTTAGTGGGCAACAAGCTTAGAATCAGTTCATGATAATAGAATGTTATTTATGAACAATTTAGCTACATTTTTGAGCTGTAGCAGTCACTAAGTATATATAACTACTGAGAGATGAAAAAGAACTAACATTTTTCTTAGTCGCATTCGTCGAATTTGAGCTCCAAGTTGTTCTGATTAAATTAAAAACTATTATTTGAATTTAAAATTTCCAGTTGAACTTCACTTTAGGGGTAAAACTACTAGGCATCTATTCCTAGTATTTTCCTTCGGTGTCAGTGGATCCCTTTGTTAGATGCTCATAACTAATAGAATTTTCAGTAATGTCAACAAATACAGTTTACCACCCATCCGGTTTTCCGGGTGCCTGACGTTCCTTGTTTTCGAGGAGCGAAACGAAACGACGATAAAAAAAAAAACCCGGCCGAACCAAAAGAATGAAAACACAAATTGAATGAGCCGAAATTACTAAATGAATAATGACTATCAATTTCTACTCTACTCTGTGCAACCCCGTTTTAAAAACTAGAGTTCGGTAGATTATATTCAGTCTTCATGACTGCCATGAAACTTTCATATAATATGCAAGTTTTATCAAATTTTAATTTCRGATAAACAAACTTCAAGCGGGGGCACTGCTCAGATTATTTTTATCAATTAAGAACTAAGATTAAGATTTATAAGGTCTCACGTACTGATGTGGGATTAGATGCTTTAACAATGCAGACATTTGGATAGTCACATTCTAGGGTCAAAGAAGCACTCTAGATCTGTGGTAGGATATCAAGTCTATCAAGATGGAAAGAAGAGGTTGCATGGTTTTGCCATACTCTGGATGCATCCGAGGATGTGAGGGGATGGAAGAAAACCTATATATAGATAAAGATATAGATATATAGTCCATCCCAAGAAGTTTGACAACCGCGAAATATACAAATATCTCGTGACCAGCAGGTTCTAAAACCCTTAACAGCTTAGATACGACTTACTGGTTAGTTATTTARTCTATTTGATCTTTTATTTAGTCTCTTCTGTCCTGAAGCAACAAAGACCTCTTCTACTGTCCTACTGTCCTATTGTGCGCTCCATTAATCCAATTATCTTCACAGCTATAGCTTGAGTAGTTTATTTACACAGCGGCAACCGTTTGAGGTATCTTCACCTTACTTAATTGTGCCACGCCCTAAGAACCGTTGTTAAACGGCTTGGCTAGAATGTCACAAAATTTTTTAGCCGCATCAGATTGTGTTGGTAAATGTACAATAACAACAAGCATTATTTCTGACGAAGAAAAAAAACTTCAAATTTAATGGATGTTACTATTTACCTAATCGTCTGACAAACTGAATGCATGCATATTTGGATGAAAGGACGCAGACTCGTCCTATCCCATCCTCGTAAAATTCTGTCGCTCGTTTCTCGCTTACATTTAGGAATTCCTTACCGGCTGTAATCACAGGTAGCCCAAGCTAAGTTTCTGTGGAGTCATATTATAAGAAACTATATGGCGAACATTAAAAACCTGAATAAAATCTTCAAGATGTAAAATAAAGTAAAGAAATCTTATGTTGCATTTATTTATATGATATCAATGTACGTCGAAAGGAGTTTTCACGGATTTCGCTCCGCACTGTAAAGATATCGGTAATAAATCACACTCTAGTGCAGTGAATTAAAACTTGAGCCATTTGGATAAATCACAAAAAAATTTCCTAAGTGTTTTTTTTTTTTTTTTTGTTTTTTGTTTTTTTTTGATACTCCAGATAAGCAAGACAATTGTTTTTCATAACCCCTACTGCTTCGAATTTCCGCTCTTTTATTACTGTACCGTAAGCTGCAATGACAGAAATATCTAATAAAGCTTCCACTCAGAACACAAATGTTCTCCCCCGATTCTGGCTTGAGTTTTGGCATCTAGAATCGATGTTTTAGCGTAGTGTTTTTGGTTATCGTTATAGTTGTCTCTTTTGGAATGATCACAAGTTATTTCAAAATTACTGTAACCAGTGAATAAATCCTGGAACCGATGCCAGATAATATTGACTTATATTGACAGCTTTAATAATGAGCTTGCGCGTAAAGACTATAGCAGGTCTAACAGGTTTTGATTACAGTAGTAAAGGTTCGCTATCCGTTTCTGATGACAATTCTAATAATGATAGTCAAACAAAACAACGCGAACTTTTAGGTGAGCCCAGAGGCGAGCCCAAATACAAGTGACGAGTAAAAACGCAAAGCCGTATCAGATGCTTAGCCTACTGATAAATTGTTTATCATTTAATTCTACAAACAAATGCTCAAACTCTCTCAAAACCTTATCGTACCCTGCGCAAGCAGATGAGAAGTGCTGATACGGTCTCATATCAGGCATGCTCTTTTTCCATATCACCCACGTGTTTATTTCGGTTATTGATCAAACTTTTAGTTTAGCTATTCGTATATTACTATAGAAGCTTTCAGCGCCGACGCCCGAACAGGTTATTTGACTTACTGGCATTAATACATTCCACTAACACACCTATACTGATTTGGATAATTTATCTTAATTTGTTCAAATCTTCTAGTTTGAATTCATGGGTTGAACCAAATACAATAATCGTTGCCAATGTTTACACAATAAATTGAGTTTTGTCCAAGTGAGTGACAGAATCGTATGTTATAAAAACACTTTCGAGCATTGCTTTTATTTCTGAGTCAAACTAGAAGAACCAATGTTACTCACTATTGTAGAGTACGGAATCCATCACTTGTAGTTGTCACAGTTTTCAAGCTCTTCAAGTCGTCACAGTTTTCAAGCTCTTCAAAACCCAGTCAGTGACTGCAACAACGAGGTAAAATTTTCATCTCTTACTGACTCAAAAATAATAAGATTAATTGGTCGGTCTCGAATTTCTTTTTCTCTAAAATGATCCCAATACTAACCAGCTTCCAAGCCATTTTCCTGCTGGCTTAGCCATTCATTATTATATTGCAGACCTACTGTACGAGGTTACGAATTTTGTTCGAGTTTGAACGTTGAACACTCAGGTGTCTATGACTGAACCGAATCAGGGCTTAGAATTATGGATTAGTTTGTTAGAAAAGGGATATTCGGTTTGTTATTTATGTTGTATTTTAAAGATATTAATTTATTATATAATTACCAATGAAATATCTATTTTTCTCTATTTCGAAAAATTGATATCTTCACACGTGAAAATAACATGTTATTTTCACGTGTGAAGATAACACCATTGCGATGACTATTCAAAAATACACGGAAATAATTGCCTGAAAAAGCCAAAACATACTCCATTGATAATTATATAATAAACAGAATATTACATGGGCGCTTGGAGATMCGAARTTTATCTTCTYRTGTTGAAAATCTCTCACTCGTTCGCTGCGCTCACTTGTGAGAGATCTTTTCAACACTCGAAGATAAATTTCGTATCTCCGCGCGCCTATGTAATATCCTCTATATCTGTAATATCGGCATATATTTTAGGGATACATTTGTTTACAAAATTGGGAAAGCAATTATTTACGAAGATTCMCCCATAACATTACCTAAGGATTATTCAGATTCCCCCCACAGAGCCTTTAGAATACGGGAACAATCCTGAAATCGGAATGTTTTCATCATGATTGTTATTTTGCTTCAGAACTGATCCAGTAAAGATATTAGAAAGTGAAACGCTTACTGTCCCAGGCTTCAATCTTAATTGTCTCATTTGCATTTTTTGCTTCAAATATTTTTTCAGCCAAAAAAAAAAAAAAATCCAAAGTCATTTTCTCTGAGAACCTATCCGAGTATCTTTATGTTTTGTCCTTTTTATGGCGTGGATTTAATGTTTCTATTTCCGCAGCAAGCCGTTGTCAGGGACGGCGAAGCACATATTAAAGAGGAGGGTTTTTCAAACGGAACTTAAAATAGCCAAAATAACGTTATATTTCCGGCTTCCTTGTCAATCGCTGGAGATTCCGTATTCCCCCACACAGCATAACAGACCAGGAAACATGCTCGAATAACTATTGTTCTTTTTGCAGCTTTTCTTTCTCTACGAAACATGGCTATTAGTCTTCCACTGCTTTGTGTACTTATTTTAACACTGGTTCAACCTTTGCTCGGGGCTTCTAATAGTAAGTAGAAGGTTTAAGATTCTCGTTTAGGCGGAAAACGTGAAACGTCAGTTGACCATTAAAAAATTCTTTAAAATTAGTGAAAAGGAATCGCAAAAATCTCCAAGTAGTAGATAAACAAAAGAATACTTGTCTTTGTCGAGAAGGTTTGCAAAAGGTTAAGTGAAATGTAGGGAAACGATGAAAACGTGGTCACGTTTGCCGTTTGCGGGAAGGAAAAACGTGAATCTTAATCTGCCTAGTAATAAAACTGTCTTGCATATTCAAAGCAAACTCCAGAGTTCTCAGTCCAGTAACGTTTTGTTTATTCCAGACTTCAATTACAATGTCTCAGATACCAAATATGGTGAGTGGAATCACAGATGTTTTATATGATAAGCTAAGTTTGTTTGTTGTGTAAACATGGGTGTAATGTGGGTAAACATCGCAAATTCTTTTGCTGGTTCAATGAACTCAATATGGCAATATCATATAGTCGGTCGTTTGATCAAGGCCGCGTTTACATAGGATCAGAGGATGATGCTCGTCGAGAACTAGGAGCTCGAGGCGAATCAACTATGCGTTTGGTTGACATGAGAAAGAGGTGTGAAATTTGTCCCTTGTGTTAGGACCTCGCTATCTGCAAGACAGGAATCAAAATCCTACTGCTAGGAATATCCTAGTACCCTAAAGACGTCTGTCAATGTGCATGTAAACAGAAAGCTATAAATATGTAGCCGGTAGGTTGATTCGCATGCAAGGAAGATCCTCGTTTTTTAAGATGAGCCTTTTCCCATTGAAATAGGGCTTTAGTAAACCGTTAGGTTCTCCAATGTTCTCCAACTTTACTAGCAAGGATGTTGTCTTTCGGGTTTATAATTCTAATATTCCCTTTCCTTTTCCTTTTCCCATGTTTTCCTCATAAAATATCTCTCCTCTCCCTCCAAGGGCGGATCCAGCCAAAATTTTAGGGGGGGGGGGGGGCTAATTGGTTTTAGGGGGGGCTAATTGCCCCCTTTGCCCCCCCCCCCCCCTCCCTGGATCCGTCCTTGCCCTCCTCACTTCTCTTATCCTCTTCTCTCTTCCTTTTGTTCTTTGCTGTTCTTTTTCTCTTCTCTTGTCATGTCTTCTGATAAGGTTCAGTCTTTTCGTACTTGTAGGTCCTTATGGCTGGCCTAAAACGTTTCCAGACTTCTGTAACGGTTCAAGCCAGTCACCCATCAACATCGAAACCTCCAAAACAACGCATGCAAGTTTGGGCCAACTCACCCTGACCAAATTCGACACCGTTCCCACTGGAGCAAAGTTTAAGGTTACTAACAATGGCCACTCCTATAGTGTGTTCCTTGCACCCAACACATTCTCTGTGTCCGAGGGAGGTTTGACAGGCGAATTCACCACTGTCCAGTTTCACTTTCACTGGGGTAGCGACAACAACAAGGGATCTGAACATACCGTAGATGGAAAGAAGTATCCGGCTGAGGTATACTAAATTGCTCCATTCTTATTGGACAAGAGGAGTACAATTAAATCCCAAATTGTACTCTTTAGAGTCCCAGTTAAGTTTCTCAATTTTGTTGAGTGTATTGTAAACGAAAAATCGCACAATCTTCTCGTACAATTTGGAATTTAAAGATACTCGTGAACGTTTTGAAAGTTCTCAAATTGAACATAAAGGCTCGTTCAATTTTGAAAACTTTCAAAACATCACTAGTACCTATCAATTACGAATTGTAGTCGAGATTGTGCGATTTCTTATACAAATTAAAATCTGTTTCCATTGAGAAGAAACATGGTTTTTGTAAATATTTGCTTGCGCGAGCAAGAGATGTTTATGCTTGAAATGGGGAAGCTGAACTCATCAAGTCGTGATTCGCCTTCTGCGTCGTCGCAGAAAGTAATAGCGACGTCTGCGCGCGCAACGTTGTGCGCAATGCCGATTTTTGACTTTGAGGTTTGAATCTAGACCGAGTAAGATTTGGGCAACTCTTTATTAGGCTAAATTATTGTCGGCACTTTTTTGCTACTGATTTAAAAATATATTCTACAAAGGTTATTCATTTATTTATATTTATGATAGATGCATTTTGTGAGCTTCAACAAAAAGTATTCGGAGATTAATGAAGCCTTAGAGCATGATGATGGACTTGCAGTGTTAGGCGTCATCTTCGAGGTATGTGTGACTTTCCATAAGCTATACATATCAGATAAAGTGAATAGCTTATAGCTAATCAGCAAAATTGTAGGGCTATTTAACTTGAAAAAGGCTTGTACAAATGCTGCAGATGTAGTTGTTTCTTTGGCTTATAAGTTCTTATGTTTATTTAAATCGTATTTATTAATTTAACAGGTTGGCGCAACCGAAAATAAAGCGCTAACGTCTTTCTTGAAATACGCACTCAATGTGACGAAACGTAAGTTAAGCTCCTAAGCCAACCCACCCCTGTATATTAGCAGGTTACTCTATCGATCTCTCCTTTGAAATTTAAATTTCCTAAAGTAAGACAGCTTTGATTCTTAATAGCCCCTTCACAGTTTGCTGCGCCATCTTGAAAGGTAGTCGTGCCTGTGCATCGAAGTGAGAATGGCAGTGACCTTGCAATGATAAAGACATTACATTTTGTTTTAATCATTTAACGTATTTAATTGTTGTGTAATTCAGTATATATTTATGTATTTTTACTGATGAGACGTCCGTGTATAAATAAATTAAGGAATCTATCTTTCTATATCTATCTGAATTATAGTGCAAGATGCTAAATGAATCTTTACTTTTCAATATTGCGTAGGAAACTAGTAAAGGGACTATAAAAGTAATTATAACAGAAATAATCCCAGAAGCTTTTACCACTCAAGGCCGCGGCAAACACAATGATGGCATAAAAGAAATATATGTACTTACAATCGTTTTATTTTGTGACCTTGCTCTTAATCGTATTATTGCTAGTGTGCTTATTACCGTCTTTGATATTGAGCAGGGCTTGTACATTATCATATATTTTCATACATATAGACCTCTTGCATTGATTACCTAGAGAAGTTGTTCTGGGGGACAAAACAATAGGATGTCTTTTCTTATGCAAAAACAAATTTTTTTTYCCCCAAAAGAACAATTCCTTTGGGGACTCAATGCAAGGGGTCTATACGAGCAACAAGTGCCAATCCATAATATCCTTCTTCTTTTTTTATACCACAAACAGCATCTGAAATGACTGGCTTGTCTATGAACCATAGCCTGGGATCTTTACTACCCCTCAACACCACTGACTTCTACAGATACAAGGGTAGTTTGACGACACCACGTTGTAACGAGGTTGTCACTTGGACCGTATTTAAGAACTATGCTACAATCTCCGCAAATCAGGTACATGGATTGTTACACGGTGCTCTGTCGTGGCATTTGTATTTCTTTCTTTCTTGGATCCACCCGTGCATAGGGGGAACGAGATGGGGTCAACAAAGTTTTCCAAATGCCACAAAGAGAGTCGTTAGACTCGTTTCTTATTTGCAGCAACTCGTCTAACATGCAGCAGCTCGTTTCTTATGTGCAGCAACTCGTTTAACATGCAACAGCTCGTTTCGTATTTGCAGCAACTTGTTTAACATRCAGCAACTCATTTCTTATTTGCAGCAACTTGTTTAACTTGCTGTATGTCCCTTGTGGGCCACTGTATATATCGAAAAGCAACTGAGTTGATTTATTTACTTAAATGAGGCTTCTGTTATCAAACTTTTCCGGCTAAAATTACTTTTATTATTGTTAATAGCTCGCCATGCTTCGAAGTCTAAAAGACAACGCAACAATTGCTCTAACCGACACCTTCCGTCCCGTTCAACCCCTGAATTCTCGTGTCGTTCAAAGAAGCTTCAAGACTGCTGCTGATGATAAGGAACCAGACAACGAATCTTGTCTCGTGACTGTCACCATGACAACCATTCTGTCTGCTCTGGTGGTGGCAGTTTTGTTGATTTAGTGATGGAGTTGTCTTCTATATAGCGCAAGCAGAGGCATGCACTCTCACTTATAGCCATTTGAAGGTTGGGGCAAAACTGGGTCGAGATGATATTGCAATGCATTGTGGTGCTATTTTAGGTGAATTTTTCTTAGGTTCGACTCTTCATAACTGGCAGCTGCTAATTTACATAAAAGTTGAAAATTAATGTCTTTGGAGTGAAAACCCTTTTAAATCATGAAGCTTTTTAACGTGTGAGTTTCTAATGAAAGTAATTAGTCCTTGACAAGATATGAGCACTTGAAGTTTTCAAAATATGCACCAAACTGAAGCCAACAAGGCTCCCAGTGATAAACAATTACAAAACTTTCTATATTCGATTTCGCAAAATTTCTTTGCTATTCAGTCACATTTAACAAAATTTTCTGCAAATAGTTTTCATGAAGTACTTTGTCATATAACATTGATAGTTTTTCCATGGGTTTGTTAACTAATGTTTCACAGACTGTGTATCTATGACAAAACACACTGTAAGTGACAATGTGTAGATGTTCGATCCCAACTGATTAGGCTGCGTTCATAATGTATGGCAGAGGGGGAGGTCGGGGG